TTGACGATGATAGCTACTTCTTCATTTCGCTAAAGGTTACATCTTGTTTATGAGACCATTTCCTTTTTCAATAGCAGGTGTAAGGGTGCCATGATGGAGGCCAGATTACATATGAACTTTCAGTAATAATAATAATAATAATAATTGACCAATCCAAAGAAAGACCTAAGCTCCAGCAAAAACGTGGGAGCCAGGGCGCCTTTGATCGCTCTCACTTTATCTTCCAATGGGTGTAACCTGGTCTTGTCAACTCTCTAGCCCAAGTAGGTCACTTGGGTGCTTGAAACACACATTTGTCCCTTCTAAGGCATACACCTGCCTGGGAGAAATGTCTAAGATCTATGTCCAAATTTTCTAAGTGCACTTTAGTGGTGTCCCCTGTTATTAACATGTAATCCAGATAAATGGCGACCTGGGGTAGACTGTGTAAAATGTTCTCTATCATCTGCTGAAAAATAGCACAGGCTGGCAATGCCCCAAATGGCAGTCTTGTATAGTGGCACAAACCCTTATGGATAGTAATTGTAGCATACTTCTGGGAATCCTCACCTAATTGCAACTGAAGATACACATGGCTTATGTCAGCTCCATGAAGGACAGTCACCACGCCTAGCCCCTCCCCCAGCTTTGCATACAAGTCCTCTATGCAAGGAATTGGGTATTTAGCCAGCAGTGAGAAGTGGTTTACCATTTGTTTAAAATCCCCTTAAAGGTGAACTGACCTGTCAGGCTTTTCGATCAGTACGACTGATGCTGTCCATTCCACAAACTGGACTGTTTAATGTTCCTTCACTTTCCAGCATCCTGATTGCTGCCTCTACTTTTGCACAGAAGGCAAATGGCACTGCTCAGCCCTTGCAGAATCATAGAATTGGTTCCTGATCAACATGCAAGGTGGCCTTGGTTCCTTTCATAGTCCCTAGATCCTCCTGATAGGCTTCTGAGTATTTAATTACGACTTCACTCAGATTGCCATTTTCTAATGAAAAATGTAGAACCAATCAAGGTGAATCTTTCTCAACCAATTCCACCCCATCAGGCTTACAATCAGTGGTAACTGAACAAGCTGCTTCTCATACAAAACTGGAACTGAAATTGTATCCTTAATCTGTAATGGTTCCCCAGTATAGGTTTTCAGTCTAGCCAAAGTCTTAAGGGTTGGAGTCCAGAGCAAATTTCGTTAAAGACTAGTTCTGCAATCACTAATACAACCACACCATTATCAACCTCCATTAGAATTGGGTGACCATTTAAGCAGATTTTATTTTGATTGATTCTGATTTGGATGTTGCTAAACAATTTAACTGTTCCAAGCCAGATGTAAGTGGATTTTCCAGAGTGTGCACACTCCTGGATACTAGCCTATGAGTTCTCTTCCTCAGTTCAGGCTTAGTGGGACTCTTTTGCTGTCTCAAGTCCACATACCAGCAGCAACTACAATGGCTTGCTACAATGGTCTGAATCCTGAAGAAAATATTAACCATTTGGCCAAGACTTGGCTTTGTTTTGGAGTTTTGCTGTGGGCTGACCTAGAGTCCCTCTGTATCGGATACGTCCTGAGCATGGCTATGCAACTGCCTTCACACAAGTGGTGTTCCCCAGCTCAGTCAGCCTGGCAAGGGTGCCCACTCCCATCAGAATACTCTGCAACTCATATGCTCCACTTGCCGCATTTACTAATGACAAAGCCAGTTGTAGTGTCTGTTTGAAGTCCAGTTGGGCTTCAGCTGGTAGGTGCTTTTGCATGGTTACATTATTAATCCCACATATCAAACAAACAGTCTCTCAGCATCTCATTAAGGGTTAAACTAAAGTCACATGCGTCTGCCAGTTGTCTTAATCTTGTCAAAAATCCTGACAGATTCCCCTAGTTCTTGAACTGCTGAATAAAACCGAAAACATCTCAGAATTAGAGGCGGCTTGGGATTGTAATATTCCTTAACTAAATCCATCAACACTTGAAAGGTTTTAGTATCTGCTGCCTCAGGAAATATTTGGCTCCTAATAACTGAAAAGACTGTGGGTCCACAAGCTATCAGGACAATTACTTGTTGCCTTTCATCTGCCCCAATGTCGTTTGCCCTAAAAAATAACATTCTTTCCACACAGAGCCCAGTCTTTGACGGCAGGATCAAATCAGACAAATTTCCCAAATAATGGCATGATGCCAGAAATGCTTACCCCAATTCAAAGATGACTGTTGCAAGTGAACTTCTACAGGAGCATATCTTTTTCTCTTGTTATCACTGAAATAACTCCATAAAGGCCGGTATCCTGAGATCAAATCACCTTTTATTTATACGCGCCTACTATTTGACGATTGTTTGGTTTCCTCAGAACCAGCTCTCAGAATGAACAGAACCTCTGACACTCCAGTTATTATCTGTCAGCCAGAGCTCCCTGATGGGGCTGTTAATCTGGTCGAATCAAGTAACTCATATTCTGAGATCCACCTGACTGACCTTGTAACAATCACTACAATCATCAGGTAACCATGAATCCAAAAGCAAAAGCAACTCAATCCATACACCATCATGAAACAAAGATGTGATTGTCCGTCTTGAGAGAGAGACTGTCTTTGATGACACTGCTGCTCCAACATCCGGAGGTAGCCTATTCTCTGTACACTCTTGCTAAGGATATCTTCTTTTCTGTTGGTGCCTATCTTTTGCCACATTCCCACCCCAAGCTTCCCATTGCTGGTCTGCAGCTTCCTAATTTTAGTTTCATAAAATCACTGAGACATTACAGGCAAATCCATGTGCACTAACAGGAATGTAGGAAGAGACATAGTCCATTCAACCCATCAAGCCTGGTCTGACATTTAATATGATAATGGGCGATTTGAGCAGTTCAGTGCCTTTCATCTCCATAACTATTTATGCCACTGAAATTTCTGATTATAATCTCAGAGATTGTGGAAGCTCAGTCATTTAGGATAGAAAATTCCAAAGATTCACAACACTGAGTAACAAGAAAATGCTTATGTGTTCCGAAGTTTTAAAAAAAAAGCCCATGAGCAGGACACTGTTATACTATTATCACTAGTGTGGTATTCTAATCAAGTTTTCCATTACTAGTTTGTAATTTAAATGAACATTATAAACATAGATTGTTTCACTTTTGTCATTAGTCTATGTTTAGAACATCCCGATTAAGGATTAATTTAATGCATGATCTTAGGTCCGTGCGCAATTTCACCAGACACAGTTACCCTTAAGTTTCAATGTATTTTTAAAGTAACGCAATGCAATTAAATTTTGTTAAAATCTTATCTGATTTACATCTTCAAATACAGTGAGAACATAAGGAGTAAAAGCAAGTATAGACATTGCTTCTTGAACCTGCTGTGTCTTTCAATAAGATCAATATTGGTCTTGCTGTGGCCTGACCTTTAGTTTCTGCTTGCACCCCATAATTCTCAACTCCTTTGGAGATCTAACTTAACTAACTTATATTATGCATCTAACTTAACCTTGAATATATTCCAGAACAGTTTTCATAGATCTCGAGTAGTCCAGGTAGTTCTATGCTTTGAATACTTACTGCTGGATAGCTGTGCAGAAGAATACAGGATACAGGTGAGGATTGCCATCTTTATCTGGGATGGCTACATGGTTGACTTTTAATTGCCCTCTGAAATGGCCAATCAAGCTACAGAGTCTAAAGAAAGAAATGAAACTAGATGGACCACCAGAATCATGTAAGTCTACCATATTGCTATGGGAATAACATGCAGACCAGACCAGGTAAGGATTGCAATTTCCTTCCTTAAAAAATATTAGTGAACTAGATGGGTTCTTACGACAATTGACAATGGTTTCAAGGTCATCATTAGACTATTAACTTGAAATCTTCAATTGATACAAATTCCACTTTCTGCCGTGATGGGATCTCAATCAGTGGGCCATCCAATTTCTCAAGCCTGCTCCAATATTGAATGCCATCATTGCAAATTTATATATCGACTCTAATTATTCATCTCAGTTCCATGTTGCTTACTAACTTTTTCTCATTGAAATATATCAATCTTAGTTCTGAAATTTTCAACTGACCTAACTACAACAGTTTTTTAGTGAAGAGATTTCCATATAATCACTATCAGTTGTGGAAAGAAATGTGACCTGACAAAACCTTAGAATGACCTATCACTAATTTTAAAGTTAAAACCATCACACAGCATTCTTGTGGCATTCAGGTGATCAACAGTACATGAGCAATATATGACTTGAATGTTGGCAGTATACATACTGCTGAAAAACAGAAAAGTTGACAGGCAAGCTACTCACCTATCTACCAATATTACAAAAATTGAAGGATCAAATCAAAAAACTGGAATAATAGAAAAGATCATAACATTAGAAAATTGAAAAAAAAAGGTGAAAATTCAGTTGTTATTTTCTATTCCTCACTCAGCCCGCAGGAACAATTTCAAAATTACTGTCCGAATGTTTATAGTCTTTCAAAATGAGCTTGAACGTTGGCCAGATCAGTGCATAAGAGAAACCATGGTCAGCAACAAACTTGAAGGTCAAGCTGCAGTGAGATTTTACCTCCCTCGGCCTCATTCCACATTCACAAACCAACTGACCTTCAATCCCAGGAGTTACAGCCTATTGATGGCAGGAGGGAACTTGCAGAAACTTAAAGGGCAGCATTTTCAAGATCTAATGGACACAGGACCTAATGCTGAGAGACTCCTCTAAAGGCTCATTTCTGAAATTTAAAATTTCCCCTGATCAGGCAAGCACAGGAAGTCCTCTATACCATATTAACTCTACTCACCCCAACCTGGCTTCTAATGGGCAAGGAAATTAAAATTGAGGCATTTGGTGCTTCTCAATATTTAAAGCTGACACTGTGAATTTTAATTCTTAAAAATACTGTAAATTAACTCAAATGTCAGTAGTTTTAACACAGCAAAACTAGGCTCCAACATATTGTGATATACATCACAATCATATTTGCTTTTATAACATTATTTGACAATGCAACAAATGTTTTTATCTCCAAAATTCAATTTATTTAACAGTGATTTATTAGCAAATGTACACACAACAGTTTGTAATTTAAAATATAATCTTTACAATGTGTACACTTATCTAAATATTAATATGGAATTGGAACAAATAGGAATACACTGCATTCATTTGTTCACATTTTATATTATCTCTCTATTGTTTATCTAATATCTTTTTACAGCAAAAGAATATCAGTTCATTTTCACAGTTGCCAAAATGTACAAAAAATAGACTCAGAAGTGTTCACAGTAAATATGGCAATAAATGTGCATATAAGACGATGCTTGAAGTCTCACAACAGCAACAGTGACTTGAGATCTGGAATCAAAACAAAAGGATCACTTTTTTGCAAATATATTGTTAAAAAGGAATTTCATTAAAAAGAAGAATCAACACTGTATTGGAAATAGAACATGAATGCACAACAAAGAATGATGAAGGCTACAGAACAAACTACAAAGCACTAATTTAATTAAATGTTTCAGATGATGAAGCAGAAACAAAGCCCAAATGGTTTATAACTGAATCCGAGGATACTATTACTGCATTTATCGCAATCTTCATTGTTCTGAATAATAGATTGTATTTCTTTTTCAGTAACACATATACTTTTTACAGGGTAGTTGACATGTGCTGCTGCCAATTTTCTGAGGAACATCCATATAGCAGCTTGAAGGCCAGCAATATATGATGCTGAAATATGAAGCATTTCCCATGCTTCATATTTCACTGCTGAGGGGTTCTGGTATTGAGAGATAACAATCATGTTAGGGAAGTGAGACAGACTTTGATAACTCACAGGTAACTACAGAAAACTCTTATAGTCATAGAGTCCTACAGCACGGCAACAGGCCCTTCGGCCCAAACTGGTCCATGCCGACCAACATGTCCATCCATGCTAAACCCAATTCCCCGCATTTGGCCTATATCCTTCTAAACCTTTCCTATCCATGTGCCCATCCAGATGCCTTCTAAATGTTGTTAATGTACCCACCTCAACCACTTCCGCTGGCAGCTCATTCCATATGCATACCACCCTCTGTGTAAAAACGTTGCCCCTCAGGTTTCCATTTATTCTTTCCCCTCTTACTTTAAACTGATGCACTCTAGTCCTCGATTCCCCAACCCTGGGAAAAAGACTGACTGCATTCACCCTATCAATACCTTTCATGATCTTATGCACTTCTATCAGTCTCCTATGTTCTAAAGAAAAAAGTCCTAACCTGTCCAACCTCTGCCTATAACTCAATCCCTTGTATCCTGGCGACATTCTTTAAGTTTCTTTTGCACTCTTTCCAGTTTAATAACATCCTTCCTATAGCAAGGTTACTAAAACTGAACACAATACTCCAAGTGTGACCTCACCAATGTCCTGTACAACTGCAACATTACTTCCCAACTTGTGTACCAAAAGCCTTCTTCATTGCCCTGTCTACCTGTGACTCCACTTTCAGAGAACCATGCACCTGAACTCCATGAATTTCCATGAATCAAGCCCCTTCCAACATATCATTTCACTGGGGGAAATTGTAAGCTTTTTTTATTGGTTCCCTGATATTTTGAGAGTGACTTTAGAAAACCTATAGGCATTCAAAGTACTCCTTAACTAATGGGAGAGATTAATGGTTTTATAATGACAATATTGTATGATGTATGAAAAAACATTGATCTCCAATATTGTTCATGTAAGGTATTCATTTTCTGAACTAAATTATGTAGTCCAATATTACTGCTGTATTGATGTATTGTTTGAGATTTCATTCATTGATGGAACTGTTGAACTGTACTGGCGGTTCACATGATCATTCAAGATTTTACAACAGTATTCAAAGAACAGGCAATGTTTCTTATGTCTGGCTGACATTCACCCCTTAGCCATCAGCACACAAAAAAGTTGACTGTTCATTCATTGCATTATGGAGTCATCCTACATTAGTCTCAATGGGCTTGAAATATTTTTTCTAGATTACATACATGATATGAAACACCTTTGGCAGCCTGTGGTGAAAATTATAAAGTACACATCATGCATTAACACTTAAGAATTTCAACCACAGGCTTTGGATATGCTGGAGTAGTGACAGGCTGGGGGGAAGGAATGGAAAAGGAGGAGGAGGAAGCAGTAGCCGTGGAGGATGGGAGGAGTAAAACGTCCGAGATTTCCTTACCATTTTCAGTTGCCAAATACCGTATAAAGTCAGTGCTTGGAAATTGGGAAGTTACTACTATAATTTCATGGACTTTGTAAATTAAGTTATAGTGTTAACATTCTTTCATTTATATTGGAGGACAAAACAATAAAACAAGAAAATCTACAATAGGAAATCTAAATTTGACAACACAAAATATATAAACGTTTAATGGAATCACAAGCCTACAACCCTGAATAAATAAAATTCTTACATTAAAAATGATGCATGCAATTAACTTCAAGTACATTCAGGCAACAGATATTATTGATGTTTAATTATAAATAAGAAAGCAAAGTAACATTTAGATTTCTAACATCGATCAGACTATTAGTTGCCTAGAAATGACTTCAACTGTTACTTTCCTACACCCATCACTCAACACATTCCACTAGCCAATTCTTTCAGAGGCAGAGGCGCTATCGAGTTTACAACATCAGTCATTTCTCTTTCCCCATTCAATTCATTCTTCCATTCCCCTGACTTAAGCTGAACAGAAACAAGTTCCTTAATTGTGCAATGGTTTAAATATTAGGGCTTACGTATTTAATGGCAGAATAAATACTGTTCCAAGTATCAGTTGTAACAATTGCTATAAAGTCTCAAAAATGAAATGAAACCAGACGAATCACTTGGCATCAACTAGGCACCAGAAATGACAATGGCAAACATAGGCCTATCAATCCTGTAAAGTCCTCCTTACGAATATCTAGTGCCAAAATTGGGACAGCAGGTTTATAGATTAATCAAGTAATAGCCTGACATGGTCATACTCATGGAATTATACTTTACAGTGCCCCAGACACCATCATTACCATCCTTGGAAAAGTCCTGTCCCACCAGCAGGACAAGCCAGCACAGCTTGTGGCACAGTTGGTATAGTTGGGAGGTTGGGGCCCAGCGAGTCCTCAACGTTGAGTCCAGACCTCACGGAGATCTCATGGCATTAATTCAAACATGGACAAGGAAATTTTCTGCTGATTACAATGTACAGTCTTCCCTCAGCTGATGTTGAGCAACACTTGAAGGATACACAGAGTGGTAAGGGTGCAGAATGTACTCTGAGGGGATTTCAATGAACACTACCAAGCGTGGTTCGGGAGCAGCCCTACTGACTGAGCTGATCGGATCCTATAGGACATTGCTGCCCAGTCTAGCAGCAGTCTAGGAAGGGAACCAAGAAGAGGGAAAAACCATGCTTGACCTCATCCTCATCAATCTACCTGCTACAGATGCATCTGTTCAGGACAATATTGTAACAGTGATCGCCACATGGTCCTTGTGGAGATGAAAGCCTGCCTTCACATTGACAATAGCTTATGCTGTGATGTGGCACTATTGCGATGCTAAATGGGACAGACTTCAAATAGATCTATCAACTTAAGACTGTGCATCCATGAGACACTGTGGGCCATCAGCAGCAGAATTGTACTCCAAGACAATCTGCAAACTCATGGTCCAGCATATCCCCCACCTCATCATTACCATCAAGCCAGAGATCAACCCCAGGGGTTCAATAAAGAGTTCAGGAGGGCATGCCATAAGCAGCATCAATGCCGAACAGCATAAGCAGTGATAAACAGAGCTGAGTGATCCCACAATGATCTAAGCTCTGCAGTCCTGGCAAACAATCAAACAATTCACTGGAGGAGGTGACTCCCTCCACAAATATCCTCATCCTCAATAATGGAGAGAAACCAACACATCAGTGCAAAAGAAAAGGTTGAAGATGTACTACAGGAACTCGGAAAGATCCTTTTAAAAACATTCAAACCCACAACCAATTCTATTCTATGAAGGGCAAAGGCACCAGATACATAGGAACACCACCACCTGCAAGTTCCCACCAAGCCATTTACCACCCTGGCTTGGAAATACATCACCATTCCTCCACTGTCACTGGATCATAATCCTGGAATTCCCTCCCTAATGGCATTGTGGGTCTATCTATAACACAAGGACCTAGCAGTTCTAGTAGGCAGCTTCCCACTATTTTCTCAAAGATACCCAGCAATACCAGCAATAAACGTTGGTCCAGCCAGTGATACCCATGTCTCACAAGTAAATTAAAAAGTAAGATATTTCTTACATAAAAAAGATTAAGGTCTAGCTATAGATAGTGTGCATAAATATTAATCCAAGTTATTGTGATCAAGAAAGTTAGAGGTTCAGTTAAACCACATTGATTCCAGTTTTATTGCGATGAAATACTCCCTATATGCTTCAAGTCTCATTCTGCACAGTCCAGTGAAAACAAATTCAATTGTTTCAGGCTGTTCTAGTAAGTTTATTTTACGTTTTCCTCCATAGGATCAATTTCAAATATATAAAATGGCATACTGAAGTGTCCTGATAAATTACACAAGATTAATGCATAATTCTTGACTTGCAAATAAATGGTTTTGAACAGCATCTTAAGGCACTTGAATTAATTTTGCTAACAGGCACACTTTTACTGGGTATTTCCACAGAATGAGCAGTAATCACAGCTCAATCGATTTCCTTTCCTTTGACATTCAAGGATAAATTGTGGCTAACAGACACACACAATTAGCAGATCTTAGTTAAAATTCTGGTCACACCAAAGCTATTAATGAGGAGCATAAAGCTTTTATATTGGGATGGATTTACAGAAGCTCTGCTTCTGTCTTTAATATTTAAGAATTGTATGAGGTTCATGGAACATGGGCAGTGCTGGCAAGGCCAGCACTTATTGCCCATCCCTAGCTACCATTGAAAAAGGTGTTAGTGAGCTGTCTTCTCGAACTGTTAATGTCCTTGCGGTGTTAGTACACCAACAGTGCCATTAAGATGGGAGCTCCAGGATTTTGACCCAATAATAGCGAAAGAGTGGCGATACAATTGCAAGTCAGGATGGTGTGAAACTTGGTGTTCCCATGTATCTGCTACCCTTATCCTCTAGCTAGCAGAGGTCACAGATTTGGAATATGCTTTTGTAGGAGCCTTAGTAAATTACTACAGTACACTTTGTAGATGGCAAACACTGCTGCCACTGTGCACTGATGATGAAGGAGATGATGTCCTGCATAGTGTTGAGGTTCCCAAGTGCTTTTGGAGCTGCACCCATCAGGCAAGCAGAGAGCTCCTGACGTACTTTGTGGGTGAAATGGCATTGGTGAGACAGAGGAAGCTAACTCACTTGCCGCAGAATTCCTAGCCTCATACCTGTTGTTGTAACAGCATTTCATAACGCTGATCCAGTTTGGGTTTTGGTCAATGGTAACCTCCAGGTAGTTGATAGTGGGGTAATCACATTGAATGTTAAGAACAATGTTAGAATATCTCTTGATGGAGATGGTTATAGACTAGCACTTGCGTGGCATAAATGTTAGTTACCATTTATCAGCCTGCATGTTGTCCAGGTCTTGCTGCACTTACACATAGGTTACTTCAGTATCTGAGGAGACATGAAAGGGGCTAACAAAGTATAAAAAATGTGAACGCTCCTATTTTCTGATTTAATAGTAGAGTGAAGGTCATTGATAAGCAGCTGAAAATGGTTGGGCCGAGGACACTCCCCTGAGAACTCCTCCAGGGAAGCCCTGGGGTTGAAACAATTGATGTTGAGGGCAATCGCTCTCATCGTTTGCCTGCAGTTCAGCTCTTTTGTCCTGGGTTTGAGCCATAATTGTAATGACATCAGAAGCTGTGTGGAGGGTTTAGGCCCGAAACGTCAGCTTCCTGCTCGGCCTGCTGTGTTCATCCAGCTCTACACCTGTTATCTCAGAAGCTGTGTGGCCCTGGTGGGACTCAAACTAAGTATGAATGAGCAGATTATTCCTTTGATGGCACTGTTGACAGCTCCTTCCATCATTTACTTGACTGTAAGTAGACTTTTAGGGCAGTAATTCAGTAAATTGCATTTGACCTGCTTGTTGCGGATAGAATATACCTCAGCAAGTTTCCACGCTGTCAGGTAGATGGCAGTGTTGCAGCTGCACTGGAGCAGCTTGACTTGAAGTAGAAAGTGTTCAGTACCATTGCTGGAATGTAGTCAGGATCAAGTGCCTTCTGCTGTTTCTTGATATCAAATAGAGTGAATCAAATTGACTAAAGGATGTCCTGCAATATGTGGTGAAGCTCAGGAGGAAGCCAAGGTAGATCATCAACTCAGCGATTATAATACTTCAGGCTCATCTTTTTCATCAATGAGTTCCTTCAGCATTACAGGTAGAGATATAGGTGCAGCGACTGCCTCCTGTTTGTTGTTTAATGGTCTATTACCATTCATAGCTGGACATGGCAGGACTGCAGAGCTCAGATCCAATCCCTCACAGTTGTAGGATCACTTAGCCCTGGATAATAGTTCCACTGTTCAGTAAGCAAGTACTCCAGTGTTGTGGCTTCACCAACTTTGAGTTGCTAAATCTGTCTGATGTCTGGTCCACTTAGCATTGTGACAGTGCCACACAACACGATGGACAGTACCTCAGTTTGAGGACAGTACTTTGTCTCCACAATAACTCTGTCATGTTTACCCTATGGGTACTGCCATGGTTCGTGGACAGACTTGTTTGAGGAGTCTGAGGAGCCCGAGGTCAACAGAGGTTTTTCCTCACCACCTGCCGCAAACCCAGTCTAGCAGCTTGGTCTGTGGTGGTGCTACTGAGCCACTTGTGGTGACAGACAATGAAGTATTCCACCCAAAGTACATTAGTTATTATTAAAACATTTGAAAGTTCCTTGGCTGTGAGGTGAAATGTCTGCACAGTTTACAAAACAGTTTTGCTGTAACGTATATAATTCACCTAGTGAAATCTCAGAATTAAGTTGGCCTTCTACCTTTAATTTAGTCAATGAGGTATTATTGTAGTTATATTTGTAAGGAGAAACAAAAATGGATGACAGGAGAGACTCCAAGAATCAGAACAAGGGGGCATAGGATGAAGTTTAGAAGAGGTAAGATGTTTTGACAGATCAAGCATAACCTTCACACAAAAAGGCTGCACAGAATGATTTATGCTCACTTTGAAAATAAATAGGCATCTGGCCAGAGAAATAAATAACTGAGGTATAGATAATACAGTACATTGTTTTTGAACTCAGACATAGCAAATGGGCAAAAATAGCCTTTCTGGTCCTGTAGTTTCTTGTGTTACCTTTGGAACTAGATGTATTTTGCACAATCAAAAAGTTCTTCATGTCACTGTACCTTGTAGTTTTTCTGGATTTCATGTGCACTTTCAGCAATCATCATCCACATTTCTCCCTGTCACAGATGAAGTCAAGGTCGGGGGAGTTTCAACCAAATAGCTGTATGATAATACCATCATTATCTAAAATAGAAAATATGGTTGGATTAACTCAGTTCATTGTTATGTAAATTGTAAGAGTACCATACGCATAAAGATGATTAACAGTTCAGTCAAACTTAGTATTTAAAAAAAAACAAACCGAGAATGTTGTAGAAACTCAGGTTTGGCAGCATTTATGGAGTTGGAAACAGAATTAACGCTTCACATTGGTACGACTCTTTTTCAGTAATAACCATCCTGTACAGTTTGGTTACAACCACACTAGTCCTATCGCACAAGCCTTCGGTGCTACTGTTTGAATGTTGGTGAAGCTCAGAGTCTTTGTGGTATCCAGTGTATTCAGGTGCTTCCTGATATCATGGTTGTGAAGAGATGAAGAACAACATCTGTGATGGTAGAAACTTCAGGAGGAGACCAATTTCAGTTATCACCTGACGTTTCTGGCTGAAAATAGCTGTAAATGCTTCAGCCTTGGTTGAATGCATGTGCTGGGTTTTCACATTGAGGATGGAGATGTTCGCATAGCATCCTCTTTCCATTGGTTGTCTACTGGCTACAACCATTCATAACTGGATGCGGTAGGACTGCAGAATTTTAATGTGGGATTGTTTATCGCCATTTGCTGTTTCCATGTTTTAACATGTATCTTAACTTCACTAGATTGGCTGTTTATTATTAAGTACACCTGGTACTGCACCTGAAACGCTTTCTGCACTAATATAAAAGCTAAGTATTGCAGATACTGGAGTTCGGAAATAAAACTGTAAGTGCATGAGAAATTCAGCAAGTCTGGCAGCACCTGTGGAGAGAGAAACAGAGTAGATGTTTTGAGACCAAAATGATTCTTCTTTGGAATGCTCTTCTACATGCCAGGCCTGAAACTGCAGACTACGATGAATATAATTCTGCTTCTGATTGTGCAAAGTACCACACAAATATATAGTTTTTGAGTTGCTAGATCTATTCTGGACCTATGCCATTTGACACAGTCACACACCACTGTGGACAGTGCTCTCATTGGAAAGAAGATTCTTTGCCTCCACAACAACTAAGAACTCCTTGCAATGCTGAAATGGAGTTGTGTGCAGGCCCGGTTTGTTAGATATGTCCTTCAAGACTCAGCCATTTTGGTCAGGAGAATGTAGCTGAACTATTTGTGGTGATGGACAAGAGGACTCCTAATCAGAATACATTCTGTGGCCTTACAGCTAAGGCAGGGCAGTAAGTAGCAATCAAATAATTTTGATTCCCAGAAATATAAACAGTAAATAGTGAACTCAGCTGGTCAGAAAGTAAGTAAAGAAAAACAGAGTTAATATTTCTGGGAAATCTGGGACTGGAAAAGATTAAAAGTATAACAGGCTTTAGGAATACAGAGGCAATGAAAGGGATGGGAGAAGGGACAAAAAGAAAAAAAAATGGCCTTTGAAAGCAGGGAAGGCAAGAATAATGAAGTAACAAAGGGAGATAGCGCAAACTAAAATAGGACACATAAGTCACAGTTTAAGTCAAAACAGTGGAACCATAAACATATGCCATCTGAAAAAAATACAGCAGAAATTATGATCGAAAATTGTTGAGTGAAATGTTGGAGCAGAAGCCTGTGAAGCTCCCGTTCCTCAAGTGAACATTGAACTCCATTGAAACAGTGTAGCAAACCAACAGCAGAAGGGGTCAGGGACAGATTGGGGTGGAGAATTAAAATGGCAGGTTGGGGGGGTCATGCTTGCAGACTAAATAGAGATGTTCTGAAAAGCATAAAGGAGTTCCTGTCATGCACAGTAGCTACAATACATCAAATTGCAAGCAAAAGTAAAGCACTGTTTCACCTGGAGTGGGTGCAGTCCTGAAATATGGGGAGAAGATGAAACAGGCAAGTTTGCAACTCCTGCACTTGTGTGGGAATATGCCATGGGTTGATTTAGGAGTGGATTCAGGTACTGTGGAAGGAATGGTCCCTTCAGAATGCTGAAAGAAAGGAAAAGGAGGGAAGGGAAACAGGGGATGCTGTTGCACTGGAAGTGGTGGAAGATGATCTATTGAATATGGAATCTGGTTGGATGGAAGGCGTGGACAACTGCAGCCCTATTTAAATTCTGGGAGAAAACGAGAATGATGGGAAACAGATGAATTCAAAAGTTCTGTCAAGCAAGAAAATCCTTGTTTGAGGATAAAGGAAGATATATCAGAAGCACTGGTATTGAAGGTATAGAAAAGATGTAAAAGAACTGAAGAAATAGGAAATGGGAGAGAACTTACAGAAAGATACCTGTGGAAGTCTGTTCACACTGAGACTGGCTATCAACTGACTCAACTGAATTGGTAATGGATCTTGTGATAGTGAGGGAAGCATTGCATATAAAGGCAAAGTTGATCCAATATTCCAGATGAATGTGAGAATAGGAAACAGTCATCAATGCTCTGGATAATGACAATGGAGCAGACTGGTGTAGGACTGAAACAAAAACAACTCCATATATCTCACAAAATGGCAGGCACAGCTTAAAAATAATTTTCAGTCTAACTGGGACCCAAATGAGCTCCCATGGCAGCACCTTTTATTTGACGACATGAGTAGAGTCAAAAAGAGCAATGTGAGAACAAGTCCAGTCTGGTTCTGTTCAAGGAAAAAGCAGAAGGCCTACAGAGTCTTTTTGGAAGAACCTGGAGGTGTAGACGGTTCCCTTGACTATATTTGACCTATTGTTACAAAACTTGATGGCGTCCTGCATCAATCTTGAATCTTTCAGGATCACTCCCTCCCAACAGTATATTGTATTCCACAGAGAATTGGGGTCTGTACCTCTTGCGAATGACAGAAAAACACAAATTCCACTATTATGGAAATTCTCCACATTTCCTGTGTGGCATGGGGACTCAGTGGTTAGCACTGCTGCCTCACAGTGCCAGAGACCCGGGTTCAATTCCAACCTTGGTGACTGTCTGTGTGGAGTTTGCACGTTCTCCCTGTCTGCGTGGGTTTCCACCAGGTGCTCCGGTTTCCTCCCACAGTCTAAAAATATGCAAGTGAGGTGGATTGGCCATACTAAATTGCCCACGGTGTTCAGGGATGTGTAGGTTAGGTGTATTAGCCAAGAGAAATGCAGCTTTATAGGGATAGGGTAGGGGGCTGGGTCTGGGTGGGATGCTCTTCGGAGGGTCCGTGTGGATTTGTTGGGCCGAATGGCCTGTTTCCACACTGTGAAGGTTCTATGATTCTACAACTATGCGATTCCCTGGGGCCGTGAAGGGGGATCTGGGTTTGACCTTGTGAGTATGCAGATAGCAAAACTGTGTACAGTGAGGAGCAGTGAATGTTCAGCATTGTGCCACCATTTTAGTGGGTATGTACTCCCACAAGAATAGGACATATACAGGAACAGTTGATCGAGGAGTGCTGGATGTATGCAGGAAAATGTGACTTTTGAGAGCATGGCAATATCAGGCTGTTTTTGAACAGTCTGTGATATAGCTTTCTAACTTTTAACAGAATAGATGTAAATGAGTTAGTTTATGCACTCTTCGATCCGTTACTAAAACCAGAAAAGTTGACGATTAAAAATATGATGAAAAGTTTACTCTGACCTCCGTTATTTGTCAAAAATTAATCAGTCTGTACTATTACAGATAGAAATGAATCCATGTGATTCTCTGATGACTGAACAAATAGTTGATCTTAATGGAGCAGAAAAGTCCAAATTTTATTATTTGGTACATTGACTGCAGCAGGGATTCTCAAGTTGCACTCACAACCCCAAACCAAAGGAAGGGATTACAAAACACTCAGCTGCTTTTTGTTGAGCACAGAAAAATTGCGCAAGCACAGAAGTGAATTGGCTCTGATATTTCAAAGTGCAATGCAACATAATAGATTTGAAGCAAATGTGAAGTCTTAATGTTATGATGCACAAAGTATTTGACTTCAGTGAGGCAAGCTGCATGAACCAGAGTATCTTTTTTCCCGTCAGTCATAATTTACGCAACTATTGAGATTGGTGAAGAAAAAAGAAATTTTATATAATTTGGCAGCCGATTTTCCAATTTACAAACCACAAATGATATCAAGAACTATTAACTGATTCATAATTCAATTGAACTTACAGTCAGAAGTGTCAGAAGACCCATCATGACTCCCAACATTATGTAAAGGTTATTAGTTAAGCCTCCTGCCCACATGGGACCTAATATTGTGGCAAGTCCTCCAATTGAACGACGGAATCCTTGACTGAACCCTGCAAAGGGAAAGGATGCACTTGGAGTTACTCATCCATATATAACAGGAATGTAAACTATATTCTCAAACAAAGTTTGCATTATTTTAGAAATACCACATTAGTTAAAAATTAAAACCTGTATTTTAAGAGTTTGGGAAAGCATGGTCGAGTTGCAATTTATTGATGGGGCCTGCTTTTACACTTAAAGTAAAGAAAAGATAGCCCTGAGAAAAGTTAAAGTATTTAAAGCCAATGGGCCATACAGGACACATCAGGTTGTAGCACTGCTGTAAATTTACATTTACAAAGCCGATTAAGCAATATCCCCAGCCTATAAACCTTGAATAGGCGCGGATTTGGGGAACATCCTTACTATTGGGTAAAAGCCAGACTTCACATCAGTGATAAGGAGAAAAGGGATAGAGTACCTGCATCCAGAAATATAAATTTGAAGGGATAACAGAGACACTGGAACAAATGGGCCAGAAAGACAGCACACAATTTGAAGAAGAAAGTGGCAAATTAGATATTTAACCGTTATGTGATTGTAACAAAAATAAGGAGCATGTTTGGATTGTATGCTGGAATTAGGTAGCCATTTTGTAGAGGAATGTTACTATGGAAGTTTAACAACCTCAGCGTGAATGTCTATGTATTTCCCTGGGCCTTTGTATTCCTTCGTTTATTACCCTTATAACGCCACAGGAGTTGTGGAAAGTGATGTATGAAGTCAAAGTGGAATGTAATAGTAGGAAAATATAGACCTGCAAGTCAATTACCCTGGGCCTGCAAATTCAAATTTCAAAAGACCTCAGGTATCACCATGTTACAAGCACTAGGATCCATTTAAGAACAGTTGATAGGTACCAAGGATAAGCTCAATCAGAGTGAATGCATTTGCTGCAATTATACATGGTTGACATGCCTTTGCATGCAACAAAACCACTTCTATGCGAAGTTTAAATGTCAAGAAATCTCTGGTTTGCATTTGTGAGGATGCTTGGAGGTCAATTTGCAAAAAGGTACACAGATCCTTCCACATTTCCTCACTAAACTGCTGCTTCTTTAAGTATAACTCTTGAGGGTTGACTAGTCTTGAACACAATCTTACCCTCTGTGCCTCATCATTTTCTCTTCCTCCTGCTTCTGATTCACCTCTATTATAAAGACTTATGCACAATATCAAAATGGAACAGCATACGTAAAGGCTATATAACAGAAAGATACAAAGAAAAAAAGTGTTCCCTTCCTCAAACTATTAATAGACAACATCCAGAATTCTGTGTTAGCTGCATAGTTAACAAAACATTTTCTGAATTATTTAAAACAGCTATACTGAAACAATGTTTCTATATCAGAACAGGCCAAGCCTGATCATACTGGTCCTGCGGTCCTCTGGCATGGGCTAGCTCACTTAGATAAGAGTTGGGAATGAGATTATCCCCTTGGAATCCTCAGCAAGCAGCCCTAATGCTGATGACATTACTTTGCACTTATGTGGCTTTCCTTTGTCTAATTAGTGAAATGACATTGTAGTTTACAAGTTCAAAATTACATTATTAGCACTAAACTTTAAGAATGTGCATTTAATAATGTTAAAAGATTTTTGAAATAATTGGTGATAAAATTATGTAGTTATTATGATCCCAGCTGATGGTAAGACTGGGAAAGTCAGATCCCAAAGTGAAACTTGCCTTGCATAAAATAGTAGCCAGTCACTGAATATATTAAGAAGCTGTCAATTTACTTTTAACAATAAAAATCAAAGTTTACTGCACATAAAAGAAAAAATAGAATTACATCATTGAAGAAATATTTGTAATGGTCTTAATACAAATACCAGAAGAGACATTACAATTCTTTCACCCTCAAGAAAAACCTTAAATCTCTCTTACTTAAATCTCAGCGATGGGTTAAGGCTGGGTCTCCACTTTAAAGTATCTTGTTTAGTTATTATGGCTTTAGATGGTTTCGGAAAAACTTCATTCTTAAAGACTTCTAAACAGTTGTAGGGAAAACACAAGGGTTTCCCATACCTAGCTTCCAGCAGTTTGCTGCTTCTGGAGTTTCCTTCTAAGCCACTCAGAACATATTCCACAGCCTTACTTTTTGAAGGCTGACAAACTAACATCAACTTTTCATTCTGACTGAACTTGTATACATTTCTGGCTGGTATTGACTTTCTATGATTGTGTGTATGAAATAGTGTCTCAGTAACCGAACTGAGTTTTTTCAGGAAGTGACAAAGAGGAACAATGAAGGCAGAGCATTGGACATGGTCTATATAGATTTCAGTAAGGCGTTTGACAAGGTTCCGCATGGTAGACTGGTTAACGAGGTTAGATCACATGGAAGACTGGGAGAACTAGCCATTTGGATGCATAACTGGCTCGAAGGTAGGAGACAGAGGGGAATGGTGGAAGGGTTGCTTTTCAGACTGGGGGCTTGTGACCAGTGGTGTGCCACAAGGATCAGTGCAGGTCCACTGCTTTTTGTCATTTATATAAATGATTTGGATGTGAATGCAGGAGCTACGGTTAGTACGTTTGCAGATGACAAAAAGTGGTGGTGTAATGGAAAGCCAAGAAGATTATGTCAGAGTACATCGGGACCTTGATCAGATGGGCCGGTGGACTGAGGAGTGGCAGATGAAGTTTAATTAAGATAAATGTAAAGTGCTGCATTTTGTAAAGGCAAATCAGGGCAGGAGGTATATACTTAATGGTAAGGTCCTGGGGAATGTTGCCAAACAAAGAGACCTTGGAATGCACTTTCATAATTCCTTGAAAGTGGAGATAGAATAGATAGAATAGTGGAGGCAGCATTTGGCATGCTTGCCTTTATTGGTCAGTGCATTGAGCATTAGAGTTGGGAGGTCATGTTGCACCTATACAGGACATACCAAACTGCGTTCAATTCTGGTCTCTTTGCTGTAGCAAAGAATATTGTGAAACTTGAAAGGGGTATATACTTGAAGGAATTTAGTAGGATGACGGGTGATCTGATTGAAACTTACAGAATACTGATAGGCCTGGATAGAGTGGACATGGATAAGATGTCTTCACTAGTAAGAGACCCAATAGCACTGCCTCAGAGTGAAGGGATGACACTTTAGAACTGAGATAGGAGGAATTTCTTCAGCCAGAGGGTGATGAATCTGTGAATTCATTGCTGCAGAGGGCTGTGGAGGCCAAGTCATTGAGCGTACTTAAGACAGACAGATAGATTCTTGATTGGTAAGACAATCAAAGGTTACAGGGAGAAGGCAGGAGAATGGGTTTGAGAACTATATCAATCATGATCAAATGGCACAACAGACTCGATGGACCAAATAGCCTCACTGTATTCCTAGATCTTATGGGGTTAGAGTTTTAACTAGCAGGGTTATATATCAACCATTCTTAGTTGTTTACCTGTAGCTAGAATCTAATTACTTGTACTAAATAGTACTTCTTATTAAGTATAGAAACCTGGTCTATTTTTTTTTCTATCAGACTGGGTCTAACAAGGCAGGTAAATTGGGTAACTTTTGCATACTTCATTAAAATCTTTAATTTTTAATGAGCTCTCATTTCCAGCACTATACCCCAGTGAGGGATAACATTATTAAAAATATGTGCATCAACAAACTTCAACCATGTCTGCACCATTTAGCAAAAAATTAAAAATGAAACTAAAACTATAATTGCCCCTTAACACAGACCATATTGAAATACAAATCAAACTTAAAGCAATACACAGATCTGTCCATGTTAAAACTCAAGCTTCAAAATGGTGACAATATTATCATGAACCTTCATCAAAAGATGCAAAAACATAATTCCCAGACCTACAATACATTAGGTATTCTAAAAACGCTATGTCATGCTTTGTGAGAAACAGAATACAATAAAACCAATGCCAATATATGAACTCATCACAAAAACTGGGAGTGGGGAAGAGAAACCGCACCCACTGACCTTGCGTTTTCTCTGCTGTAACTTTTGAAAACAAAGATACTTGAGAAACTGCAACAAATGGCAACCCCAGAATTTGGAGAAACACACCCACCACAAATTCTGTTAGCAACATGGCAAAACTCCCTGCAAAAAGACAAAAGACAACAGGTTTACACTTTTAAAACAATGCAAGTAAAAAACATTTACACATAACTGACCCCAATAAAGTGCAATTTATTTGAATTTGGTGTCCAGTATGAACAGTAAAGCAGCTGGAGTGGTGGCTAAAAGACCTGCAACTTTATGGACAATGTGATGCACTGGTAATATCATTGAATTAGCAATCTAGAGGATAGGCTAATGCTCTGGGGACAAGGCTTCAAATCCCACAATGGCAGAAATGTGAATTCAATTTTTAAAAAAATTAAAAACTAGCTTGATGTCAACCATGTAAATCACTGTTGTCATAAAAACCCACCTGGTTCATCAGTGTTCTTTAGGGAAATAAATCTACTGTGGCTTATGTGAGACTCCAGGCCCACTGCAATGTGGGTGACTCTTAAAATATCCTAGCAAGCCACTCAGATCAGGGGCAAGTAAGGATTGGCAATAAATGTTCATCCAGCGAGCGACATCCACATCCCATGGTAAAAGGTACTGCTCCAGGAGCTGCACTGCCACATGTGCAGCAAGCAGGAATCAATATCTGATGATCCTGATCTTTTTCCAAGGGAGAATTCATTTCTACAAAAGAGCTACGGATCTGGAGTACAGTCTCACCATCTACGTCAAGGTCATGAGTTTAAATACACAGTCATAATACATAACTGTTTTAAGTTTACCATTGCGTTTAATATCAGCAAAACAGAGCTAGCACCTATATGGACTCATCATGGATGTTTAAAATCAAAACAAGTCAGTAAAAATGGTTAGACATTTTCACTATTTAAAATAATTATACATGCAAAATCATTGGATACATCATTGAAGTTTATTCTGTGACCTACCTGTTCAACATCATGCAGAACAGAAGCACTCATTTCATCTTGTTTGAATTCACTTCAATTGTAAGGGCTATGCAAAATTAATTAATCGATATGTAAATACTATTGATTCTAGATGTCAATCACCCAATAAGTATACTGTTAACCAACTTGGAGGAAGTATAATTTCTCTAAGAAATTATATCTTTCTATTCCAGAAATTATATTTGCATAAGGAATGCTTTATATTAAACCTAAGGGAAAGTAATAAAAATAAATAAATGTAACAAAATTCTTACCTTTTGGATTTGCCAGGAAAATTAAACACCAAATACAAGAAATATTGCATATAAGAAGACCCACTGCCAGGATTACTCGATCAGCAAACTTAGTGCTTAACCATCTCACAAGAAAGAATCCAACTATCACCTATAAAATACAAAAAGTTAGAATGTGATGCCAGAAAATAATTCTACATTGCTAATATGGTCCAATATTAAATGCCACAATTAGACAATACCTGCATTTAGATTGGAGTTTTGTTTCTTTTACCAACATTTAAGTTAAGCATCCAAACAATGATGATAATGATAATGTAAATTAGTTCAGATATGATTCACAAAGAATGTAACTACTGCTATCAAGGACTTTATAGAATCATAATCTTAATTCAAAGTTGTTTAATCCAGATGCCATATAATTCAAATAATTTTAAACATTGAAATTCCATTTTATTGTTATGCTGCTTAACTTGAATTATTGGATAATTTTTAATCTTAAAAACAATTAAAATTAAAAAATAAAAATGACATTATTATCACTCATTGCAAGTATTTCAGTCTTTCAATTTATGTGTAAAGACCAAATTAGAACACGAGAGTTAGATAAAGTTCTAAGTAATGAAGAAATTGATTACATCCAAGATTGCATTGAGCGTGCAAATTCTGATTTAAGAAGGTAGCACTCTCATATACATACTTAAATCAATTCCAGGTAGATTTAACAAATGTTCTGTTTGACAAAGTATTAGATGGTATCAGGCCTTCTTTTCCAAGGAATTATTTCTCTTTTCTCTACAGCCGGATCACCCAAAATATACTGTCAAAATTACTATTAACAATCGATTAACAATGGCAATGTCCACCATATTTCATCATGACATAAATTATTACTCACTTCTACTCCACATATACAGTACATCAAACTGTTCTCCAATTCCCCAAAGTGGAAATACTTCTGTGTAATAGGAGTAACCATTGTCTGAAATTAAAATTCAGCACGTTAACTTAAACGTCTTCACCATATTTTGTTCCAAAAGGTGAGCTGAGACACACAAAACTTCAAAACAGCTGTCCTGAAAAGTTCCAAATTGTTGTGTATTGTTAGGATCCCAGCTGATGTTACCGCTGGACAAGTCAGATTCTGGAATTAAATTTGGCCTGATAGATCATATTTTCTTTTGATTTAACATGGCAGTCTTTCGTTGTAACATGAGCGCACAAGGCTGTTGATTTGGTTTTAAAAACAAAATTGAAGTTTATTATACAACAGAAATAAAAATAAATAAAACCAAGCTATTTACATATAACACCACTTGAAAGATTTCAAAACACAGGACAAAATCCCAGCTACTTGCAATACCATCGTATTACAGATTTTCAAAAATCCAAAATGTCTCCTTTCCTTTCAAATATATCAATTTGATTTAACTGATTCTTCTCAGTTCCGGTCCTGAGAGCTGTCAGGCCTTTTCCTTTAACTGCCCAATTGCGAGAGAGACTTTCTCGATCTTTTAATAATATGTGGAATTCTATCCAAACACTTCTGGTCTGGAAGCTTCACAGAATGTACACTTTGACCTAAAGAAAAATATTTCCTGACCTGCCCTGAACAATCATCTTTTTGCAGGAGGAATTATATTTGCTTCTGACTCCAGTCAGATTTCCTTGAAACTCCTGAAAACTTGTGGACTAAAACTAAAAAGAGAAGTGCTCATCCTTGACTCTGCAAATGTAATGGATTTTTCTCTATCATACAGACCCACAATATAAACAAACTTCTATTAACCCATTTTGTTTCAAAATCATGGTTCTGGAAAAACTGATCTTTTCAAGCCCTTTCTAAAAACTGGACCAACACCCAAATACATAAAAAGCACACCTTTCATTACAGTATAGGGATTGGAAGTGTTTTATTTCAATTACTAATTTAGTAATTAAATTAAAAATATTTGGATAACTTTGCAGTGAATTAATCATTCAGTAACACACAATGGTAGTCTCTTAAGTATATTGTGAGCCAATGCCGACACAAAAGCACAGCAAAACTGACTAAACACTAACATGGGAAAATAAGCAGCAACAATCTAATTGGAGTGGTGAGGTAATAACCTTGAAGTTTACCAAGGTGGACAAACCAGTTGAAGAATTTTGTTTCCTACATTAAAAACTATTTTTATGTTATTACTTTGGGATCATTCACACATAACAATCTCAAAGCAATGAAAGATACGATTTCTTTCATCTGTTCCACAGGTAAGACAGGTCTCCTGCTTCCAGTAAAGTATCAGTTTCGTATTGGTGCCCAGAAGGACAGGAGTGCATAATCTAACTGACATAAATGGATTTTTATGTGGTGCAAGGTTAGAACAGCATCTGCAATATTGCACCTAAAATATAGTATAAAAGTTTCACAGATGTACCAAATGCATGGTTGTTTTACAGAAAAAAGCCAGATTTACTTTTACAATGCACACAGGATGTTTAAAATTAACTTTTGGGACAGGGCAAGAAGTACACACTGCCCTTTGCAAGAACACTCCTTTAATGTAACGCCAGCAGCAACAAAACTCTTGGAACTGTCAAAATAACGCTAGCTATTGACTCACATATCAAATTGCTTTATGGAATTAAAATTAACTATTTCTAAAGTTAACGAACAAGTGATTGATTACAGGTAGCTAATAAATACAAGTGCGGAGAATTAAATTCAGTTCAGCAACATCTTCATTATCAATAATTGAGCTACATCTTCTTTCGAAAGCAACCAATAAAGAAACGTGTAGAGTAATCCATCAATGCTAAGCAGAGCTTTGAAAGGCAAATGTCACATTAAACTTAATAAAATCGGTTGTATCCAAATCAAGAGGCTGGAGTCAAATCTACTTGCATACCTCTAAAGCAGTTTGATTGAATAGTGTAATGAACTGTGCAGTAAGAACAACCACAACCTCCTCTCGTAGGTACTCTGAAATGGAAAACACCATACTAATTATAAACTAAATTTAAAACAAATTAAATTTTCAATTATAGGAAACATTGGAATAAATATTTTTATTTTCACCATTTGGGCAATAAGTTCAAAGAAACGAAAGATGAAGTGAATTCCATAACAAATAGGCTTCACCAAATTTTTGCTCAGGCAGGGAAGGTGGGAACGAGCCTTAACTAGTTTTTCAAATAAATTTTATGGTTGAATTCAGAGTTTTATTGAATCCAACAAATAGGTTATAAAAGGCAGTGCCTACAGTACATGGACTTCTACCTCCAGCACATGAACTGCAGTGGTTCAAGAAGGCAGCTCACCACAACCTTCTCAACTAGGGAAAAACATTAAAAATGCTGGCCAGTCAGCCAGCGACACCCACATCTCAAATGAATTTAAAAAAATATTGTTTTCGCTCCATGTTCCTGTAGCCAAGTAAAAAGTAAACCAATAATGCATTCTTCTAAAGAAATTTATTTTTAAATATATTTTACTCAGGCGGAATTTCAGAACATTGCAGCCGTATCATTCAGCATAAGACTTCATATAATGAGGACAGAATTAAGAAGCTAATCATTGAATCACATCTGTTACTTTATCTGGCCAGTCTGGAGACAACAATGTTCATTTATGTGGCTAAGATGATTGAGTATTTTTTCATTTGATAAGGTGCAATTCTTAAAGCAAATATCCTGAGAATTGACTTTAAATGATAATATACCATTTTCTTTAAAAAAGTAATGAGATGCCTTTATTTTGTCAAAAATTTAAAAAATTTAAAATAAATTTGCTACTAATGGTCATCATTTATTTATTCATAATGAGGAGATTTCTCACCACATAGTTAGAAAAATTTTGCCACAAGGTGGTGCATTGAGACTGCCAACAGGATCCCAAAGACAATAGAATATAACAAATTACCATAAAGAATAAAACAAGTACAATTAAGCACCATTAAGTCTAAAGACTAAGTCTACACCAAAAAAATGTTTTAGCTTATCCAATCACATTCTAGGATAATAATGTAATTCTTTCCATATTTTCAATGGACATTAGGGAAACTGAAAAATCTCTCTTTTTAATAATGACTCTGGCTACAATCAACTGAGATGCTTAACATACAAAAATGAATAAAAAGAGATTTCTCATTTTAGTGTTAATCTTACATCTGAAGGAAGGCAAATATATTTGCAAATAGCTAAACCAGTTTACCTGGGAAATAAAGATATAACTTTGATGTATACCCTTTAGGACTAACTGGGCTGAAGTTATTTAATTGCCTCTTAATGGTCTTGGTAGCTCTTCACAAAGTTATCATTTTTATATACCATGCAAGCATACATTTAGAGTAAGCAAAGAACTCCCAATGCAATAATCTAATTGCCAAATTACAAATGTTGAGAACCAAACTAAATTATTTTTCGATATACCTAACTCAGTTAGAGAACCAACAATTTTAACAAAGAAACTGCTTATATTGTGAGAGACAGAGTTGCATTTAAACAGCAAGAAATAAGGGCTAGACCCAAGTAAATTAGAAAGCAAAAGAGTGAAAAAGGAAATTTTAAATTATGTCTACTCTGTTAAACAGTATTCTTTTTTCATTCATAGCACATTGTATTGTGCCAACCCACGTAAAGGTTAAGAGCAAATTACTGCAGATGCTGGAATGTGTATTGAAAACAACAAATGCTCGAGATTACAGTGGGTCGGACAGCATCCATGGAGAGACTGCAAGCTAGCGTCAAGTCTAGATGACTTTTCATCAGCGCTAAAGCTTCATCACTTCAGCAGTCAAGGATATTTGGCCTTGGATGTTCGGGTAAATGTCATCCAAGGCGGACTTTGGGATACACGACAATGCAGGGTCGCCAAGCAAGCAGCCAAGTTCCGTACCCATGAGGATGGCCTTGGGCTCATGTCACATGACAGGTGACCCCACCACATTATACACTTTCTCTCTCCCTTACACACTCACTTTCTCTCTCTCTCACCCACCCCTCTACACACACACTCTCCCATCCTTCACCTCCCCCCCCCCCCCCCACATACACACACACACACACACACACAAACAAATCTACGGGGTGAATTTGTATTTGCTGATACATTTTACTTTGTTCAAAAAAACATACAATTTATAGACAGTCAATGTGGCATTTTATAAATTCCTACTTAAGAAATAAAACCAATCAGACTCCAAACCAAAACACAAACAGATTCTAAACAAGACCTCACACCAAATGTGCATTGTCTGACCTAAAATGTCACCTCTTCTGTACACTGGTAAAATCTCTCATTCTCTCAGGACAGTGACTTGAAAGAAATTCGGGGATTTATCTATACATATTAATCAATTAAAATCTTCTAACTAATTAAAGATTTAACAGCATTTTAGGTTTGTTTAATACATCCTCGTTAGTTGTGTGACACTGATTTTTTTTAAAATCATTGTGCTAATATGGTAACCGAAGCTGAAATAAAATAATCAAAACACAATGCTACACGAAGTATTTTAAAATTTTGGGGAAAGTCTCAGCTTTCTCATTGTGAAATGTTTATATTCATACACTATTTACAGTTATAAGTATTTTGAAACATAGAAAATAGGTGCAGGAGTAGGCCATTCAGCCCATTGAGCCTGCACCACCATTCAATACAATCATGGCTGATCATACAATCTCGGCTGATCATACAATCTCAGCATCCCATTCCCACCCTTTCCCCATACACCCCTTGAGCCCTTTAGCCACAAGGGCCACGTCTAGGTCTCTCTTGAATATATCTCATGAACTGGCCCCAATAGCTCCCTGTGGGAGAGAATTCCACAGGTTCGCAACTCTGAGGAAAGAAATTGTTCTTCATCTTAGTCCTGAATGACTTACTCCTTATTCCTAGACTGTGACCCCTAGTTCCAGACTTCCCCAACATCGGGAACATTCTTCCCGCACCTAGCCTGTCCAATCCCATCAGGATTTTAGATGTTTCTATGAGAATCTCCCTTATCCTTATAAATTCTAGTGAATATAAGCCCAGTCAATCTAGTCTTTCCTCATATGTCAGTCCTGCCTTCCCAGGAATCGGTCTGGTGAATTTTCGCTGGATTCCCTCAATAGCAAGAATGTCCTTACTCAGACTACGAGACCAAAGCTGCACACAATACTCAAGGTGTGGCCTCACCAAGGCCCTGTATAACTGCAGCAAGACATCCTTACTCCAATACTTAAATCCACTTGCTATGAAGCCAGCATGCCATTCATTTTCCTCACTGCCTGCTGCACTTGCATGTCAACCTTCAGTGATTGTCCCACCATGACACGCAGGTCTCATTGCATCTCATCTTTTCCTACCACCATTCAGATAATAATCTACCTTCCTGTATTTGCAACCAATTTGCATCAGCACCAAGTGTTGAAACGTTTCTTACCCTACCTGCAATTAAAGGCCCAATATTTTCGCAATTGCATAACTTTGAAACAAACAACTTGTTCTTACTTTATTTTCAGTTTGTTAATAAAAGGAATTTTATTATACATTTCAGAGTAATACTGAGCTATACAAACTAAGACATAAGCCAGATATAAGCTCCAAATTATGTCCAGTAAGCAGGTCTCTACTGCAGCAGGAATTTATGCAAAGCAAGATTTTGGGAAAATGCCATACCACTATATTTGCAAGCTAACAGGCTGAAAAGCCTGTGGATGTTGCATGCAAGTGCCTACACATCCAGGACAACAGAACAGAATTTTGGTTATTACTTCCATTGAGTTTAAGAAGACGTTCATTATAGGATAACATGAGAATGTGTTCTCAACTGAGGCATTACAAAACTATAAAAAGAAATCGTTTTGGTGCCACAGAACTTGCATGGTATTGTTAGGACAAATAATAGGCAGAAGAGAGAAAAGGAGAGGAAAAAAGATGATATAAACAGAAATAGATTAAATTATTTATATAATTATTAAATCTTGCACTTTTTGCTTAGGATACAAAATCTGGAATATGATGAGACATTTAGCCCTGGATTTTCCCATTGATTTCAAAACCCCCAACGGTGGCAAAGCCATTCTTGACTCGGCTCCCCATTACTTTCCTCCCACCCTGATATTGGAAAAAGTTTGCCTTAGTTTGAAAACCTGATAAAAATCAAGTGCAATTTTTTAAAGAAAAATGGCAGCCTATAAGCAGAATGCACAGATAATCCACAGTAAAAACGCTTCTGAAATAAATGATGTTCAATAAGGATGTTTAGGTTTTGTTAAACACTGATAAATTGAGTTTCCATAGACAAAAGGTTCATCGAACCATAAATGAGTTGTATGTGCAGAACTGTACAAGCATTTTACAAGAACCAATTTGCGAATACCCACCTTTAGTGGCACTAAAATTGTGGAAAGGATTATCATTCATTTTGTAATTTTCATCAATGTGTCCATTAGGGATATATTGATATTCATCCACTCTGCTATTTTCACCATCCAGTTCATCAGTTGGTTGAACACACAATTTTTCATGTTCATTAATGCTACCATACTGATTGTTCTCGGCAGCTTCATGGTTCACATCACCATGAACCAAAGGTTCTTCCTCCTCCTCAATTACCGTTCTTTGAGAATTGTTTTTGGTAACCAATGGAAGATCATAATACATAAAAATTATTATCACTTGAAGAATGATCCACATAAGACACATGAATAGCTGTAACAAAATGAAACAAAAAAAAAATTAGGATGTGCAAGAAAGTTCTGATGTGGAGGTGCCGGTGTTGGACTGGGGTGGGCAAAGTCAGAAGTCACAGGACACCAGGTTACAGTCCAACAGGTTTATTTGAAATCACAAGCTTTCGGTGAGCTGCTTCATCAGGCTCCTTCACCTGATAAAGAAGCAGCTCTCCGAAAGCTTGTGAATTCAAATAAACCTGTTGGGCCAAGAAACTTCTGTGCGTTGTTAATTCTGAATATCTTTAAATTCTGTGAAATTTCATGGAGCGAAAATATCTTTGCATATGCTTTCTTGCAATTTATAAGTGGTACACCATCCTAATATGTTTGCAGGAAAAATTGATGCTTCAACATGTTCAGAATTCTAGACATTTACCGTTTATTGTTAAGCATTCATAAAATCTTAAATTTTGTCTTCTTTACATCTGTAGTTCATAACCTAACCAAGTCTGCAAATAGTATCTTCTGTACCATGGTACATCATCCTGCCCCTGTCCCTAGTCCTAGGCACAGCTGATCATACAAAGTCAATCCTTTGTTGCCCATTTCAGTGGTGCTGCCCTTAGTTGGTTTCACTTATCTGGTAGTAGCTAGAAACCCATTGAATTTTGGCTGGTGCTTCTCCTTGCTTTCACAGTCACCTCCAATATAACCTAATGTCTCTTTCTTGGCAAACAGTACATTCAATCATCTACGTGCTTTCTTTGACAATAGTACCTAGAAACATTTGAAACATTAAATCTGTTTACCCCCACACAGATGCTGCCAGACCTGCTGAGTTTCGCCAACAATTTTTGTTTTTGTACATGTTGGTAGAACCCAATTATGCTTTGCTGCTTCTTCCACTGGCCAAACGAGGTCAGTGGAAGGTCTCTTGAATATTCAGAATTAGATAATCCAAATTTTCCTCAAGCTGAACTAGCCATCCATTTCAACTCTCATTCAGCAACTCTGACTTCAAAATCTTAAGTAGCATAACTTAGCTAACTCAACCTCACACACAACTTACTTCCTTGCATCGACTCCATTCTAAAATAACTTTCTACAACATACAAAATTTCAATCAATCATATCTTTCTTCCATTGTCAAAACTTGAATTAAGCACATATAAGCTTCAACTCATTGAGAAAATGTTACAGTGCTTGCCTTTGCCTACAAGAAACTATTATAATTTCACCATTAATTTCCTCAGTAAACTCAACTGGCTATCCATTCTGTACTTTACTGGTTAAAAATTATATGTTTCTATCTTATGTCCTTGTACATACTCTATATGCCTCTAATACTGACATTTCTTGGCCCTCTTTTCTCTATCATCAGCAACTGTAGGTTTGAAATCTTAATTAAAATACTTTTCTCCTGAACTGTAAAGCATTCAGATGTATTCCTTTCTTATAATGAAATCACAAATTTGTTTCTTTATTCATTGACAAGATGAGGGCTTCACTGGCTAGGCCAGCATTTATTGTCCATCCCTAATTGCCCAGAGGGCGGTTAAAAGTCAACCATATTGGTGTGGGTCTGGAGTCACATGTAGGCCAGACCAGGTAAGGATGGCAGTTTCCTTTCCTAAAGGACATTAGTGAACCAGATGGATTTTTCTGACAATCGACAATGGTTGCATGATCATCTTTAGACTCTTAATTCCAGATTTTTTATTATTGAATTCAAATTCCAACATCTGCCGTAGTGGGAATTGAACCCAAGACTCCAGAACGTTGTCTGGGTCTCTGGATTAACAGTCCAGCAATAATACCATTAGACCATCACCTCCCCTTAAAAATTTCTGGCCTACTTAGTACAGTATATCTTGGGGTTCAAAAAACTCCCAGAATTGAGTTTCCCATTCACCACTACACTATCATTGCTGATAACCCCCCTTGATGTTTACTGTTGAGACCTGCAGGACTGACCAAGGCTCCCCATGACTGACCTGTGAGGACAACCCCTCTGATCACAGCCCAGTCCCCAGTCTGATGTCTTCACAACTCACCAACTTACCCGTCATCCCAGGACTGGTTGAATTTCACTTGTAGGAGTAACTACGGGCCAATCCTTGGTCTGCAAGGTCACAGATTGCTAGGTCCTAGTCGCACCAAGTGCCTGGCTGTGTCCAATCCCCTTGACAAAAATTGGACAATGCCTTTGACTAAGTGTTGCAGCAACCCCTGACTGATCATAGTCTCCCTTCACTCCATTCAAGATTGTTCCCTTTTGGCTTTCAGACATTGTCATCTGGTTGAAGCACATGTAGTACGTGGCTATTCTGTAAATGTGACATTAACGTAGCTACAAATGCAATAATTAAAAAGGTAAACAGAAGATTTCGTAAGAACGATCACCATGGGCCTAGGTACAAACTCTTCATAAAACTCCCTGAAAATAACATTAAGCTAAAAAAATTGGAAACACCATAACTGTACTAAAGAGAAAAGCACATGAAAATCTTGATTAGGCAAAATGAATTGGGGATAGCTAGTATCTTTATATGTCTATGATTTGTAACCTCTTGAGACTAAAACATGAATATGCTACTGTTACTATATTCTGTACAATAAATGTTATAACTTTTAAAAAAATGTTTAAAAGATGAACAGAGCAATTCTTACCCCAGGTGAAGTGTATTTATTTACTTCAAATGGTCCCAGTTTGAAGTTACAAAGCCTCAGGAAGAGATTAAATCCTGGCCCTAAAGGAAATGGCAGAAAAACATGTTTAAATATAAACATAATATACACAAATAGTTTTTAATATTTAAATTGTTTCGATAGTCAATAGATTGTTTCGTTCTGAATGGACATCTTTGTGGCCCCCTCGCCATCAGCATTGAAAACTTTAAACTTGTAAACACTTCAGAAATTATCACATCAGCTGGCTTGCTTGTGCCTTTAGCTTAAATTGCAAGATCTGACCAATGTTATTTTAAAAAAGAATTGCTGACCCTTATCTTCAAAGCACTGAAAAACAAAAAGCATTTACCTCTAGAGCGCAATTCCCTGGCTAACCTCTCTCTTGTTTAAGGTGATCATTATCCTGCACTAATGACAGGAGTTCTACTTACTGCCCAGCAGCCTAAATGTTATCCAATTCCTCCTGAAGCCTCCATAGCCAGTTTCATTATTAGAGTTGTGACTACAGCTAAGCAAAAGCTGTAGATTCTGAACAATTTCAACTTTGACATTATGACAGAGAGAAGGTCTTCAATGAATTAGTTAAAATTGAGCAAAATATTGCTGCCTTAATGAAGTCTTACAATTATATCCTGGGACAACAATTAATGGAATCCAACAAGCATTACCAATGTTGTATGTGTCTCCTGATGGCCGGAGGTTCTTCCTATTGACGCTCAATGACTTCAGTTTTGCTTTGCTTCCATAGTACATAGGTGTACAAAATGATCAGAGTTATAGATAGAGTGGACAGCCAGAGGCTTTTTCCTCGGGTGGAGGTAGCTATTACGAGGGGGCGTAGTTTTAAAGTGAGTGGAGGTAGATATAGGGGAGACGTCAGAGGTAGGTTCTTTACTCAGGGAGTGGTAGGGGCGTGGAATGCATTGCCGGAGAGGGTAGTGAAGCCGGCCTCATTAGGGGCATTTAAGTGGCTATTAGACAGGCATATGGATGATAGTACAAGGTAGGGGTGGAGGTTAGATAGACCTTAGGTTTAGGGTAAAAGTTCAGCACAACATCGTGGGCCAAAGGGCCTGTACTGTGCTGCACTGTTCCATGTTCTATGTACTACTCCATAAGTCTTGAAGTTGAGAAAGAGCTAAGCTGAGCAGGGTGTTGTCTGGGGGGGAATGGGATGTTGGGGGAGAAAGGAAGGAAGATGTAAAAGAAAAACTATGATGTAAATATTCATTGGGTTGTTGGGGGAGGTGGAATGGAATTTGAATAAACTCCTCAGCTGCAGTCTCCTACAATAACAAACCAAACAGTTCATTAAATTGCTACAGTGGGTCATATTATCAATTTCTCAGGTTGGCTATGAGTAGTGTACCTTGCTCCATTGTTATGATCGGTGGATCTGGTGAATGTTTCTATGGCTCATTTCAAGTTCATTTCAAAGTCAATTTCAAAGTTTACCACACAACTGTTAACAGTGATCTGAAGTGTGTAGCTTTGAAAATCCATCATGTTTTGTTGCTCAGTTCAGCTCAAGTGGCAGATCCAACTTAGTCACAAGTGTGATTCAATAGGGAATTTAAAGATTACTGCTATCAATTCATTAAAAAGTGAGAGCTTCTTTCATTTTCTTCTCCTTTAGGAAGAATCTCTTGTCCTTTAAATTACTTATTCCTTACTAAGAATTTAGCTGCACTCCAGTTAATTAAAGCAGCATGCCATCTGGTGGCACTGATATGGCAAAAAAATGATTTTCATCGGTTATTTAACAGTCACTTGATCTCAGATGCTGCCCCATCAGAGTCCCACCACACTTAATGTGTCACACATTGCCAAGTGCATTGGGTGTTTTTTTTTTAAAACGGAAATCCTTTCTGGTACTCAGGTAATTCAAATAATACTAGTTCCTGTCATACTAACCCAAAGGTTTAATCAAGAGTGAGCGGCACGGTGCTCCCTAGTTAGCACTGCTGCCTCACAGCACCAGGAACCTGGGTTCAATTCCACCCTTGGGCGGCTGTCTGTGTGGAGTTTGCACATTCTCCCCATGTCTGCTTGCGTTTCCTCTGGGTGCTCCAGTTTCCTCCCACAGTCCAAAGATGTGCAAACTAGGTGGATTGGCCATGCTAAGTTGCCCATTGTGTTCAGGGATGTGTACATTAGGGGCATGGGTCTGTGTGGGATGTTCGGAGGGTCAGTGTGGACTTGTTGAGCCGAAGGGCCTGTTTCCACACTGTAGGGATTCTATGATTCTATGATCTCATAACAATGAATCATGAAAACACAAATAACTGAATGGTTGGGTTCGGAATGTGATTTTTGCAACTCCACTTCCAGCAATTTTGACAGTGAAGCGTATCAACTATGACTAAAAGGGGCATTTCCAGAATTCATACAAGGAATTCAATCCAAATAAACTGAATTAGAGGAGAGTCTATATCCAAGACTTGGATAGGTGTGTCATAAGACAACTTAGTTTGCAGTTCTAGTTAAGACAGCAGAACTTCTTCATTGAAAAGGAAATAGGTTTTCAATGTCTTGGCATCTCCACGATCAATACATTAAAACTGACTTACCAACCAGAAGCCCAGCCTGTCGTGCAGCCATGACAACAGCAAATACTGTCGCCCGTTCTTCTGTTGTTGTTGATCGAGTAAGGTATCCAAAAATGCATGCACCTGCACCTGTACCTATACCTGTAAAGTGATAAGTACATATCTTTTCAGATGACAAGTAAAATACTTAATGTTAATACAGCAAGTAGATGAGCAGGTGATTTAATTTAGGTAATTAATTGATTGACTGGGCAAAAAAAAGAGGGAATGGGGAGGATTGAGGTGTAGAAGGAGCTGCAAGACTCCAGAGGTGAGGTTTTTCTGGTGCAATGGCAGCATCCCTATGTCTAGACCAGGAGACCCAGGTTCAAGTCCCATCTGCTCCAGAGATGTCAAATAATGTCTCTGAACAGGTCGATCAGAAAATATTTCAGATTGTAGATACGTTAAAAAAAACTATTTGTAAATTTCTCATTCAGTCCTTTCCTTTGAATTGTTGGCTTCTAAGGTATTAAACACAGACTCCTAGTATTAACTGCAGTTAAATTTTTAAACAAACATGCTTTTGCACTAGGCCTTCAAAGGTTCTAGGAATAATTTATTCCAGCCATCTTCATAGTTTAACTAAGATATTCAGCAGCAACCCAAAGAATGGAGGATTCAATGATAGCAAGAATGCAAGACCACTAGAACAAGCTGAAAGGGTCAATGCAAAAGGAGAATCACAATTAAAAGTGACAATGGAGTTATCTCTGGTAACTGTAACAGATGACATGAACTGTCAAAATATAACAGAAGAATGAACCCCATGAATGCCTGTGTATGGTCAACAGGTGTTTTAAGTACGACACAAAATTCCATCATGTAATTAACTGTCCTAAAATAGAATAACAATTTTTTTTTTTTGAAATTATGCATGACATGTATAGTTCAGAAGGAGAAGATGATAATACTGCTCACACAGAAGGAATTGTGCTGTACAAGTCACACAATGCCTCAGCCCAGTAATGAATGTTTTGGTCACAGACTCATTCAATTGCATTATAACACACAGCGAATGCACATTTGCATTGTACGGAATGCATTGGTGAAAATATTATCTAGACCTGTTAAATGATAAAAATGAAAGCAAAATTAGCAAATTTGAGAGCTCCATCTGATTCATGTTCAGGGATAACGACATGCTGAAATCACTAAAATAGTGGTGATATCTGCAAAATAGCTGGGGTAAACACTTCATCAAAGACAATGTAAACTGAAATACCCTTTTTGTTGCGCAGGTTATGAAAAAGGCTCAATGGCTTTTTCATGGAACATGACAATGCAATTGTTCTTGAGAAGTCAGCAGACTTACATTTTACACAATCGAAACCAATAATGCAGAGACTTTATATGTATGAACTAGTGTCTCCTGCAAGCAAGTGAAACTATCTGGAGAAGCAAGGTCATGGAGCAGCAGCTCCTGACATGCCAAAAGGATCATCTCAGCAAACCCTACAGACAGGGACCATTAAAACGCCTGCACAGATTTCCCCCCAACATCCATGACACCAAATTGTTTTGGTGCATCTATCTGTCTGTATGTATGTGCAGGGGGATTTTATAAAATGATCAGACTTTTAACTAGAAGTATATATCAACAGCTCATCGTTGTCTACCTGTAGCTGAAATCTATTATTTGGAATATTAGAAGTAATTCTTGTTACAAATTTAAACTTAGTGTGTGCTTTCAGTCAATGTGGGTCGAAAAGTTGTGAATTCAGGAATTTTGCAGTTTTTAAAAAAGTCTTAAACTTTTGTGATCATTCAGAGTATAGCAGGGCTCGATTTCCAGCTTGCTACCCCATGCATAACAATAGATTTAGTCAGTTTACAGTAACACATTGTGAAAAGAATAACAGTGGACGTAAGAATGGAGAAATGGACAAGGTCCAGACTGAGGGCACAAGCTAAATTCCTAACTGACAATGGGATGGCAGGGGAGAAGAAATTTGTCAATTATTAACTTAGAGATGTGTGAGGAAATACAAACTTTATGACAACAAATATGGCAGCAGTAAGTCTTTTCAGTAACTGACTGTGTCAAAGATATCACTGGACAATAGATGAGATGCCTCATTAAATCTTAGCAGACAAAATGAGTAGTAAACTAACATCTGTCCCAATACAGGCAGTTCATGTGAAGAACTCACTGCAAATGGATGGGGACTGCAGTCCATATCAATTGGTTTTTGGGAGAAATCCAAAAACTCCTTCACAGCTTGGGAAGGGAGTACAATTAGCTCTGTCTTTTCTGAGCACTTCAATGTCCTGCACAGAAGGAAAAGAGCTTTCAGAGAAAGTTTAATGTGCTTTCCAACATCATTTGTGACCATCATAATAAATTTTAAACTGGGGAAATAGCATTTTACTAACAAGAAGAAAGAGTAGAAAGGTCTGATAAGTTTAAGGTTGTGATGGAAAACAGTAATTTTACAGCATGGTAACCAAATTGTTAGGGTGCATTCATCAAGGAAAAATGGCACTGAATACACAGATTCTGAACAAGTCAAAGAAAGTGATGACCATGTAATTCACAAACACATTTGTTAGACAATTCAAAGACTAGATTTTTGGCAGGTAAAGGCTACTTGCCTCAGAGGCAACAAAGTCACATATATTCCAGAAGAAGCCAGTGATAGAGCAATGGCACTATTATTGAGAGAACTGCAAAGCATGGAAAATATTAGTGGAAGTAAGTCTTTTGAGCCTGCTCTGCCATTTATTTTGATCATGGCCAAATATCTAACTCAATAGCTTGTTTCTACTTTTCCTCCATATACTTTGATCCTTTTACCCCCAAGAGCAATATCCAATTCCTTCTTGAAATAATACAAGATTTTGATTTCGATTGAAATTCACTCCCACAGAAAGCAGAGGCTCATAACTCTGGGTGAAGACATTTCTCCTCATCTCAGTCCTTAACGGTTTACCTTGTATCCTTAAACTCTGACCTAGTTCTGGACACTTTCCGCCATCAGGAACATCCTTCCTGCATCTGCCCTGTCTGCTGTAGGTTTTTATAATGTCCCTGCTCATTCTTCTGAACTCCAGCAAATATAATCCTAACCAATTTAATCTCTCCTCATATCAGTCCTGCCATCCCAGGAATCAGTCTGATAAACCTTCAATGCATTCCTTCTATAGCAAGAACATCCTTCCTCAGAAAAGGAAACCAAAACTACATGGAATATTCCAAGTGTAATCTCACCAAGGCACTGTGTAATTACAGTAAGATACCCCAGCTCCTAAACTCTAATTCTCTCGCTATTCAGGCCAACATATAGTCTGGCTTCTTCACCTCCTGCTTCACCTGCATGCTTATCTTCAGCACTGGTATATGAGGACATCCAGGTCTCATGGTAGAGTGCCTCTCTCAATTTAGAACCAGATAATAATCCGCCTTCCAGTTTTTACTACTAAACTGGATAACTTCACATTTATCCACATTACACTGCATCTGCCATACATGTGCCCACCCACTCAGCTTGTCTAAATCACACTTTAGCATCCCTGCATCATCCTCATAGCCCACCCTCTCACTAAGCTTTGTCTCATGTGCAAATTTGGAATGCCATGCATAAATGCAAACATTGACTAAATATGCAAGTTGAGGAACAGAGATAAGATCCATACATTAGCAAAATGTGGTAAAGATGTGTAAGGCCAGAAGCACTGTTCAAGTTCTGAAAGTGGGCCTGGAATTTAACGTAAATATTGAAAACCTGCACAAGGAAAAGGAATTCTGATCATGGAAGTGGGAGATCTTGTAGGGGCAGCCCAGAACAAGAAGGGTCATCCAGCAGAGGTCATAGTTTGACAAACACAAGAACTATGAAACAAATCAGAAATACTGCAAGGAGGAGATGGGCTCACAAAAGACAGATTTTAGCAGCTACAAGCGCATTAGAAGATCATTTGATAAAGGATGCCAAACAAAGAGTTCGAAGCTGGAAAGAATTTGATATACACAGAGGTTCCAGATAGAGGACAGCCAGCCTTACCAGACAAACAGACATGCACAGCAGAAGTGTTTCCTGATTTGATATTTCAGGCCAAAGTCAGATTAATGGCTCAGGGTTTCAAAAAAAAACCTTGGTGATCAGGATATCAGAGTAGATTCTCCACTGCCGGAAAAGTGACCTTGAATATCTTTTTAGCACTTTAAGCAACATAGTCTTGGGAATATAAGTCAGGGTAAAAGCTACATTTTTGCAGGGAGAAAAGTTTCAGACTGAAGTATTTTTGAAACTGTTTAAAAGGATGATATAGAAAACAAGCTGTGAAATGAAGCAAAAGTACAGTACTTCTCAGTTGGTTTCAACAAGCTGGACCTAAGTTGCATTCAGCTTAAAGCAGACCCAGAAACTGGTATCATGGACAGAAAAGGCAAGCGCCTTTATGACGTATATTGATAACTCGCTGCAAGGTAGTTTTATGGAATTTGAGCAATGCGTTATAGATTTAAAAAAAGGGAATGCATTGGAAATCAGGCTTTGTGACCTTTAAACATATAGGATTAAACATTAAGCATAATAAGTCATGAGTAATTTAAAATAAACAGTATTACTAGGAAAATGTAAGTCGCATCCTAATAAACCGGGCCAGGTCGGGTTGGATATCTAACAATGATGAGTCAAAATACAGAAGGGAAACAGAGGGTTTGGTGACGTGGTGCATTGAAAACAATCTGTCTCTCAACGTCATCAAAACTAAAGAACTGACCATCAATTTCAGAAAGAAAGGAGAAAACACCCCCCCATCCACATCAATGGAACTGAGGTTGAGAGTGAACAGCATCAAGTTCCTCAGACTGACGATAACCAACGACTTGTCCTGGACTTTTCACGTAAATGCAACAGTCAAGAAGGCCCAACAACGCCTCTTCTTCCTCAGGCGGCTCAGAAAATTTGGCATGTCTACAAGGACCCTCACCAACTTCTACAGATGCACCAGTGAAAGCATACTGTCTGGGTGCATAACGGCCTGGTATGACAAATACTCTGGCCAGGGCCATAAGAAACTACAGAAGGTGGTGTGCACAGCCCAGACCATCACTGAAGCCAATCTTCTATCCACAGACTCTATTCACATGGCCCACTGCCACAGAAAGGTGATCGGCATGGTGCCTCTGTGGTTAGCACTGCTGCCTCTCAGCGCCAGGGACCTGGGTTCGATTCCAGCCTCGGGCGACTGTCTGTGTGGAGTTTGCACATTCTCCCAGTGTCTGCGTGGGTTTCCTCCGGGTGCTCCGGTTTCCTCCCACAGTCCAAAGATGTGCAGGTTAGGTGGATTGGCCATGTTAAATTTTCCGTAGTGTTCAGGGATGTATAGATTAGGTGGGTTACAAGGGGACGGGTCTGGGTGGAATGCTCTGAGGTTTGGTGTGGACTTGTTGAGCCGAAGGGCCTGTTTCCACACTATAGAGATTCTGTGATTCTATCCTATGGGCAAAGACCCATCGCTCCCCGGTAATGTCCTCCTACAACTATTCCATCAGGCAGAAGATACAGAAGCTTGAACACACGCACCAGCAGGTTCAGGAACAACTTCTTTCCAGCTGTTATGAGACTGTTGAATGGACTCTGGCCTCAAAAATTTAAGCTGCATGTAACCTGTATGCCTCTAAGTTTTTTTGATCTGTACATCTTTGCTTGCTGTGATTTGTCTGTACCACCCATAAACAAAGCTTTTCACTGTATTTCAGTGAATGTGACAATAAATCAATCAAGATCCTCACAGAAACATGATTTTGCACTCAGGTAAAAAAAACAGTCAAGGCATTTGTCAGACAGTTAAACTGGCTGTGTCAACGACAACTTGCTGGATCTGAGTACTATAATGAAATATGTTACTTTGGAGGAAATCTTGAGAACAAGTAAAACGTTAAATTCAGAAAAACACACATTTCCAGTCCTGGGTGACCCAGAAGATTTGAAGCTAGTCCTTTTTAACAATGCTTCACCTGCCAATCTTCCAGGTAGTTATTGAGGTATGGCAGGGTTCATCACACTCCGGGTGGGAAAAATAATAAATGTTGTCTGTTGATCTGAGGTGCCAACAAAAAAAAACCTGGCACTAAATGTTATATATGTTAGTATATGACACTATATGTTAGCTGGTGCAAGGAGAAGCTTTAGAGATAAAGATATATTTATCCAATACTTAAAAGAAAGTCATATACAAGGAACAATCTGAGAAATGTTCGTCCATAAAACATTACAGGGATACCCACTGTCTTTAGAACAATGTACATTTGGCAAAGAGTACTGCTGAGGGAAAGTTGAAAATTGGCCTGCTAGCATAAAGGAAATGTTCCAAAGAAGAGATTCAAAATAAAATGAATTGACACAAGTCACCAGTGTCAAATTTCTTTTTAAAAAAAGGCGTTTTCTGCAAGAAATTATCTGAGATCCTCAAAGAGGGATGCCTGTTAATATAAGAGGTAATAAGAACATGAAAAAAATCATTTTTTTTATTTTTGTCACTTTGTGTAAACTTTTTATTGTTTAAATGAGTTAAAATTTTAACACTATGTTGTCAACATCTGTCCTGGGGAAGCAGGAGGTAGTTTAAGCACTTGCTAAATGGGATTAAAATGTCTTTCTGGTCTGAATTTGCACAATTAAGAGGGGTTAGTCCTTTTGTCTTTAAAGTTAGTAATGTTAGTAAAAACACTAGACCTATATGATATGATCTAAATAAGTGAGAAATTATACTTGTACTAAACAAAAGTATAGAGGATATTAAACTAATGTCCCACAGCTGGGTTGTGAGATTTCATTTATGATTGTTGGTTTAGACAGTTCTTATACATTCATTCATGCAGTTTCATGGAAGCGCTGTTTGGATAGTAAGTTTCTTAAAGGGGGTAGCGGCCCGATTTAATGTGCATTTAAAAAGTATAAATCCATATGTTAGTATAAGAAGGCTGTCCTAAGTAAAAGTTAGGACTAGGTAGTGCAATGTTTATAGAAATAGGTAATGTATAAGAAAATTTCAAAGGGATAAAGAGCAGCAGACTGTAGGGACATGCTAGTGGAAGAAATTGATAGATGTCCTGCAACTGATTCACATCCCAAAAGATGGTTACCATGGGGCTAATTAATATTATAATCTTTGCATTGTTTTAAATGAGTTATGAAGACGCGTTGGTGGAAGGCATTGTACTCAGTAGGTTACAGTATTAACACTTATTCAGGGGTATCTTTGATACAGAAACAGGTCTAAACACTGCTTGCAGCTTGCGGCCAATAAGATTTTAAAGGTGTAAAAGAACCAGTAATGGATTGGAAGGGATGTTTAATTTAGTTTATCTTGTAACAGTAAAATGTATTACAAAAACACGGTTTTATAATTGAGTGAATGGAAATGCGGTATAGTAAACAGAGCATCTGTGAGGGAGTTTGTGAAGAGAATCATAATACAATATCTCACAACCTCTTAAAAATATTACAATTGTCTGTTTCAATTGCCACACTGAGCAGTTTATCCCAAGCTAAATGTGATCTGTTTGTTATTTTGCCTCTTAAACTTTAACCACTAGTCCTTCATTACTATTCATAGAACTGAGGTAAACAGTTTCTCTAGTGTTTCCCATTCATTCTACTCTTGACTACTGACAAACTCAGTTTTGTTGTTTCTTCTTACAGTTCAGGTGCCTTATGCCTAGTATCATATCAGTAGCCTTTTTTCTCTATTTCAGTCTCATGAGGTCCCTCCTGTAACATAACCACTATATAATTAGTTTTTTTAGGATTATAAACCAAGTTTGTCTGCTGTACAGCTGAAATACCTGAAGAGTTTTGCAAAATGACATAGGTGGTGCACTTTTTCAATTGTATAAGTGAATGTTACTTGTTGAAGAAATAACATGGATACTTTGAGACAGAGTGGCTCTGAGAGACTTTGAGTTGAGGATATTTTGCCTGACCACAAATCGCTGATTGGCTGAGTTACAGTTTGTTACAAATCTCCAAGTGCAAAGGCAGCCAAGGACATAGAGCCTGCCAGGTGAACACATCTCTCTCCCCCTCTCTCCTTGGAAAAAAAAATACAAGAACTAAGAAAAAAGGAATTCTGACAAAAGAACACACCCCACCAGATCAACCATCAAAGTGAAAAACAACCTTCACTTCAGAGATAACAGTGTCAAAACTGCTGAAATAAAAAAGCTGAAGGGATAACTTAACCCACCCTCAAGATCCAGACTCTTGATCTTTGGAATTTTGCTTCCCCTATCCATATGCTTTTTCCACCCTATATGTCAAACCATGTCTTAATTGTGAAGGAGTGTGTGGATATTTGTGGTTTTCAAGAGGTATAATTCAATTTGCACAGTAGTGGATTAGGAATCCTTTGTTTTCTCTGCAGTTTTTTAAAATTAAATGTGCTACGATAAATAGAATAAATTTTTTGTTGGTGTTTGTGTGAATTGATTTTCCCCTGAAGAGCAGTCAGTCAAACAGACAAAATGAGGTCTTGGTGGTATAACTGAGTTTCATCCATTTTTTGACATCTTGTGGTACAATGAAGCATGATTGTTGGCACACTCCTCCCAATTAAATTGTGAGAATACATCAAAGACTTATTTTATACTGTATACTTATTAATATTCCCCATTTCCAGGAAACTCAATTTCATGGACCAATTCCATCATTTGTGTTGACTTATTCAGGCTGAATTCAACTATGTTCAAACTTTGTTCAACTCTGAGCTAAGTTCAAGTCCATTATCATCCCCAAGAATACCTGCTATTTCCAGAACATTAGTTCTCTATGTCTGTGTGCCAATGATGCTTTTGCCAACACTTTTGTTTCTGAAGATTTAAAAGTTTAAAGGGTACCTAATCAGCCCATGACTCATTCAATAAGAATCATCAGACTTCCTCCTATCCAATATTTAATCCAATGCACACATCACCAATGTCCCTGTTATCCTCCAGAGGTTCCAGCATTCTAGCAAGTTAATTCCAATAGTTCTTTATAAATGTTATAACTTACTTGTTTGAACACTAAGATAAGTTCAATTCTTTCAGTGTGATTTATAGTGAATCAATTGCAGCAGAGCTTTACGGCCAAAATATTATTTTTATCGCTGTTAACAGAAGCACAAACCTCCACAACAGCACAGTAAAGGGTTAGTACTGCCTCCAAAACAGGAGAAAGTTCAGGAGACATCTTCAGAAGTGCCATTAAATAAAATGATTGAATATAATTCAAAGCAAGAAAGTAAAGAAAGACGAAGGAAAGTTTCTTTCCACAGTGATACAGCTGTTGGTAATTCAACTTACCTGCTACAAGTCGACTACTAAGTAGTAACCATTTTGAATATCCCATGAAGTACATAAAGTTGCCTAAAAACAAAGTCAGTTATTTTAATTCCAAAACAATTAATATTTTTTCCTGAATTACAATTCATCAAAATTGTTTTCATCAAATGTTAAGACAATACCAGATATATACTTTATTTAAGTTAGCTATAGAAAGAGAAATGAGCAAGGAAATGTTTGGAGCGGAATTTTTTCAGCATTGTCAACACAAGACCAGTCCTAAACTACATCCATTCGGAAGAAAAATGTCAACCAAATTGTTCATAAGTCATTCTCTTTCAGGTGAAAAGCAGGACCTCTAGGGCTGTAATCTTGGGATTACTTCCTGCGCTACATGTTAATGAGGCTAGGAAAAGGAAACAACTCAGAATAGTACAGTTAAAATACATAAGTAAGAAGCGGGTACAGGAGGGAGGATTTCAGGTGTGTGGATCATCGGGATGTCTTCCAACGTGTGTGGGACCTCTACAAAAAGGTTGGGTCGCATCTAAACTGGAGGGGCACCAATATCCTGGCAGAGAAGCTTGCTAGCGTCATTCTGCAAGGTTTAAACTCGTGTGGCAGAGAGATGGGAAACACAGCAATAGGTTAAGCGAGTAAAATGACCAAGGAGGAGTCAGAGACTAAGGATAGTAAGACTAAGAGGAAGAAGAGATAGGGAGCAGTTACTGAACAACAGCAGGATGAGCAGTCTGAGGTGTACTTGTTTTAATGCAAGGCGTACGACAGGTAAAGCAGTTGAACTTAGAGCTTGGATTAATATGTATAACAATGATGTTTTATCTATTACAAAGAATTGGGTGAGAGAAGGACAAGACTGGCAGTTTAAAATTTGGGATTTAGATGTTTCAGACGAGATAGAGGTGGTGTAAAAGAGGTAGGGGAGTTGCATAACTGATTAGGGAGAATTTCACAGCTATACTGAGAGAATATACTTTGGAGGGCTCATCCAGCAAGGGCATTTGGGTAGAGCTCAGGAATAGGAAGGGTGCCATCACTTTGATGGGACTTTACTATAAAAGCATCCCAACAGCCAGCAGGTGATAAAGGAACAGATATGTGGGCAGATTATGGGAAAATGTAAAAACAACAGGGTTGCTGTGTTGCGTGATTTCAATGTGCAGTGTATTGACTGGGACTCGCTAGTGCAGGAGCTTGGATTGGGGGAAATCTGTTAGCTGTGTCCAGGATGGTTTTTTGAAACAGTATGTAAATAGTCCAGCTACGGGCCGAATGAGACCTGGTATTGGGCAATGAGCCCAATCACGTGATCAAAGTTTCAGCGAGACAGCATTCCGGAAACAGTGACAATAATTCTGTACGTTTTAAGTTACTTATGAATGAGGATAAGAGTCGTCTCGGGTGAAAGTACTAAACTGGGGGAAGGCTAACTATCACAATATTAGGCAGGAACTGGGGAATGTAGATTGGGGCCAGCTGTTTAGGGGTAAATCTACATCTAGTATGTGGGAATCTTTTAAAGGCCAGTTGATTAGAGTACAGGACCGGTAAGTTCCTGTGAAATTGAAGGATAAGGATGGCAACATTTAGGAACCTTGGATGACAAGAAAAATTGAGTCTAAAAGAAAAGGGAGGCATACATAAGGTAAAGGAAACTGAAAACGGACAGAGCCCTTGAAGAATACAAAGATATTTGTGTCTTAGTATCATGAGGTGGCATGATGTCTCAGTGGTTAGCACTGCTGCTTCACAGCGCCAGGGACCCAGGTTCGATTCCAGCCTCAGGCGAGTGTCTGTGCAAAATCCATACATTCTCCCAGTGTCTGCGTAGGTTTCCTCCGGATGCTTCCCAGACCAAAGATGTGTAGTTGAGGTGGATTGGCCATACTAAATTGCCTATGGTGTCCAGGGGTGTTCAGGCTAAGTATGGGAAATGCAGGGATAGGGTAGGGGGAATGGGTCTGTGTGGGATACTCTTAGGAGGGCCAGTGTGGACACAATGGGCCAAATGGCCTGCTTCCACACTGTAAAGATTCTGAGATTCATAGCGGGAAATAACTCAAACAGGAAATTAGGAGGGCTAAAAGGGGCCATGACATGTCTTTCGCAAACAAGATTATGGAAAAACCCAGTGCACTTTATGTATATATAAGAAGCAAGAGGTATAGATAGGGAAAGTGTAGGCCCACTCAAGGACAAAGGAGAAAATTTATGCAGGCAGCTGAAGAGAGTGGGTGAGGTCTTTAACAAATACTTTGCATTGGTATTCGCAAAGGAGAAGGTCATGGTGAACTGTGACCCTCAGCAGGGGTATATTGATATTCTAGGGTGCGTCGATACAAAAAAGGAATGGTGTTGGGTGTTTTGAAAACATTAAGGCAGACATGTCCCAGCCCCTGATGGGACCTACCCTAGAATGCTGAGGGAGGCAGATTAAGAAATTACTGGGGTCTTGCACAAAATCTTTGTATCCTCTTTTGTCACAGGAGACGTTCCAGAGGACTGGCAAATAGCCAAAATTGTTCTTTTGTTTAAGAAGGGCTACAGAGATAATCCAGGAAATTACAGGCCAGTTAGCCTTATGTCAAGAGTGCGGAGAGTACTCGAGAAGATTCTTAGGGATAGGATTTACTTACATTTGGAAAAACATGGACTTATTAGCGATAGGCAGCATGGTATTGTGTGGGGAAATTCTGAGGAAGGGTCACACGACCCAAAATATTAACTTTGATTTCTCTCCACAGATGCTGCCAGACCTGCAATTTCTGTTTTTGCTTGCGCAGGGAATGCTGTGTCTCACAAACTTGTTTGAATTTATTGAGAAAGTGACAAAGATGCTCAATGAGGGCAGGGCAGCAGATGTTGTCAATATGGATTTTAGCAAGGCCTTTGACAAGGTCTCTCACGGCAGGCTGATACAAAAGGTGAAGTTCACATGGGATCCGCAGTAAGCTGGTAAGATGGATACAGAACTGACTTGGTCATTGAAGACACAGTAGTAGTGGAAGGGTGTTTTTCTGACTAGACATCTGTGACCAGTGGTGTTCCATAGTGATTAGCACTGGAATCCCTGTTGGTGTTTAATATATAGATATATGACTTGAAGGAGAATATAGATGGTCTGGTTATTAAGTTTGCGGAAGACACAAAGATTGGGGGAGCTGTGGATAGTGAGGAGGATTGTCAGAGGATATGACAGCTTATTGATAGGCTGGAGACTTGGGCAGAACAATGATGGAGTTTAATCCGGACAAATGCAAAAAGTGATGCATTTTGGAAGATCTAATGCAGGAGGGAAGTATACAGTAAATGGCAAAACCCTTAGTAGCATCAACATAGAGAGATCTACATGTACACGTCCATAGTTCTCTGAAACCGAAGGGTCTGTTCCAGGCTGTATGACTCTATGAAAGTGGCCAAACAAGTGGATAAGATGGTCAAGAAGGCATATAGCATACTTGCCTCCATCAGTCAGGGCACAGAGTATTAAAAAGTGGCAAATCATGTTGGTGCTGTACAGAACTTTAGTTAGGCCACATTTGGAATATTGTGTACAGTTCTGGTCACCACACTATCAGAAGAACGTGGAGGCTTTGGAAAGGGTACCAAAATGTTTTTCCAGGATGTTGCCTAGTTTAGACAGTATTAACTATGAGGAGAGATTGAACAAACTTGGTTTGTTTTCTTTTGAATAAAGGATGATGGCAACCTGATAGAAGTTTATAAAATTGTGAGAGGCATGAATAGTCGGAGTCTTTTTCCCAGGTAGAAATATCAGTTACTAGGAAACATAGGTAAAAGGGGGTAAGTTTAAAGTAGATAGAAGAAGAAACTTTTTTTTGTACACAAAGGGTGGTAGGTGACTGGAATGCACACCAGAGGAAGTGGTAGAGGCAGATACAATAGCAACATTTAAGTGACATCTTGGCAGATAAATTAATAGGCAGGGAATAGAGGAATATGGATTCAGCAGAGGCTAAAGGCTTTTAAGTTTAGAAAGGCATCAAGTATCAATGCAGTCTTCGTGGGCTGAAGGGCTTGTTCCTATGCTGTACTGTTCTTTGTTCTTATTTACTAACTAGAAGTGTATTTTTGGCTTAATTAAAAACAGTAAGTGCTGGAAACACCACAGTTCTGGCAACATCTATGGACAGGAATGCAGAGTTTGGTGATCTTGCAGAGTCAAAAGATCTAGATTCACAAAGTATGATTAAAGATTAAATATTAAAATTGCGTACAATGGAACTTCAACTCCACAGTTTGCCTCCCTGCCTGGATGACAGGCTTGGCTTCCAGTCAGTCAGAAAACACTCCAGAGCAGTGGATCAGATGCAGAAAGCTGGGGATTGATCTCTGACACAATGGGCTGTTTTCCAGAAACAGTTAGAGTGTAATAGAGGGGAAAGAGCATGGGAGCCAGGGAGGTTAGCAGTCCCAGTGCTCCTCTTCCACAAGCAATCCTAAGAAAATACTTAACCTTTCCACAAATTTGTTCTTATCTTACTTCAGCTGTCAAGCTTCTTCAGACCTGATAAACCTGGCCACCATTGTAAAACCTCAAAAACTGATTAAGGTCAGAGGCTGTACATCTCAATAAAATATTTAACTTCCCACCTTGGAAAAGCTAGCAGTTGGCAGGTTGGGTCCAGGTTCAGATCTTAAAAGGCTGCATTTGCTGACACCAGGAGCATGCACAGTATTGTAATGGCACTGGAGGGGGTGCAAAGGAGAAACATATAAAATTATGAAGGGAATAGACAAGATAGAAGTAGAGAGGATGTTTCCACTGGCAGGTGAAGCTAGGACAAGAGGGTATACACTCAAGATTAGAGGGAGCAGATTTAGGACTGAATTGAGAAGGAATTTCTTCACCCAGAGGGTTGTTAATCTATGGAATTTCTTGTCCAGTGAAGTAGTTGACGCTACTTCAGTAAACGTTTCTAAAAAAAGGTAGATTTTTTTTGAACAATAAAGGAACTAAGGGATATGGTGAGAACGCGGGTAAGTGGATCTGAGTCCACGAAAAGATCAGCCATGATCTTATTGAATGGTGGAGCAGGCTCGAAGGGCCGGACGGCCTACTCCTGCTCCTAGTTCTTATGTTCTTATGCTCTAGGGAGATTCTTATGCATGCTCTTGTGAATAAGATTTGTTGAAGTGCTTCTATCACACACCTAATTTCTGCATGTGGTATCTAGAGATCAGAATATGGAGGAGTTGGGGGAGTTGTTGCAGTTGTACAGGGCCTTGATGCAGCCACACCTTGAGTACTGTGTGCAGTTTTGGTCTTCTAGTCTTAGGAAGGGCATTCTTGCTATTGAGGGAGTCTAGCAAAGGTTCACCAGACTGATTCTGGAATGGCAGGACTGATCTATGAAGAAAGACTGGATCGACTGGGCTTGTACTCACTGGAATTTAGAAGTATAAGGGGGGGATTTCATAGAAACCTACAAAAACCTGATGAGACTGGACAGGCTAGATGTGGGAAAAATATTCCCGATGTTGGCTCCCATGCTCTTTCCCCTCTATTACACTCTACCTGTTTCTGGAAAACAGCCCCTTGTGTCAGGGATCAATCCCCAGCTTTGTACAAAAGGAGCGAGTAATATCAACTTACCAGCAATTTCAAATAAATTAGCAAATAATATGATAGCTTTTGTCTTCCGTGTGCTGTCTGATACACGTCCAAAGATGGGACTTGCAATCAACCCACTAAAACTGAATGCAGATAGTCCCAAACCGAGAAAATAAGGTTCAGCATGAAGAGTCTGAAGATATGCCCAGATTGTTGGAAGTATTACAGCTGAAACAAAGGTTTAAAAAAAAGTTTAATTGCACCTTAAATTATAACTCATGTCATGAAGATTTGCATATTAAACATAGAATTGTAATTTTATTTGATTTCCAGCATCCGTGGTTCTTTGGTTGTATTGCAATTTTATCATTAGTTATACAGAGAACTTTTCAAAAAGCGTACTTCTTATTAAACAAAGGACACCGGCTTCAAGTAACTGCTTACTTACACCTGCAAGGCAACAGTCAACTTCTACGAAGACTCAGAGAAATAATGACACATCAGGAGATGAGAACAGTTCCTTCCAATCTCATCAAGATGGAGGATGGTTCCTTCAGATGTTAATTGTTGTTACATATAACCCCCATCTCACTCTGAAAATTCTCTCAGAGCTTTAAGCCCAGACTGTGGCTTGAAAAACCAGACTGAAATCTGCCCCACAACAACCAGCAAATTTTAAAGACAAATTTCAACTCAATGCCACTTTCCAGGGAAAAAGGAGAATACACCAAACTTCCACAATTAGAGTTTTTTCTAAAACTGCCTTTTATTTGCATTTTATCTTCCTCAGCCAAAATTAGCATCCAAAATTATGTAAATTGTTATAATTTACATGCTCAAGAGCATGAGTGTTTGTGAATATTAGTGGGATACTAGTGTAAGGTAGGACATATTTGTATATCTTTGACATTTATAAATATCTTTTAGACAACTTGGTTTTAGCAATAAAATTCCGTTAAGTGTTGAATGCAAGAATGTCTGTCTAGCTTATTTTTTGGAAGACTGCACACAGCCAGGTACATATTGAATACACAGTCAAGTAAATCGGCAATGCAACATCTGATTTTAAAGTTCAAAATCTTTTATCGGTCAAAAGAGAAGTGAGACAAGGAAAAAAAATGGGGTCATAACACGGATTACAACTGATTACGTTATCGCTACAGTCATATAAATTCTAAATTCAAAACCATTGCATCTCCAATAATGTTGCTTCTGTTAAACCTTATAATTTCAATAAGTTATACATAATATACATATATGGTGCATTGTGAAGGTCTGTCCCTTTGCAGACAAGTCTGATTGAGTTCAACCAATTGTTCTTCAAATTGCAACTTCGAACATTTTTTGTTTAAATCTAAGACGGTGAATTGCTAAAGATAGCATGCACAAATGGATAAGAGGGCAAAGAGGTGCAAGAGAGTAGCCACAAAAACACAAGTTGCTGGAAAAGCTCAGCAAGTCTGGCAGCATCTGTGAAGAAAAAAACTGAAGAAAAGAGTTAACGTTTCTGGTCCAGTGACCCTTCCTTACAACACCGAGGAAAAGTAGCCAGATGTGCATGAGATGAGGCAAGAAAGAGAACAACAAGAAAGAGTACTAGGCAAATCTGAGCAGGCAGACAGGTTATGGACAGAATATCAGAAAAACAGCATGGAGGGTGCTGGGGAGGAGAAAGAAGGGTAGATGGGTGACAAAGTCCCAAGTTAAGTAGATAAAGTCAGGACATGCATGCATGTGGAAAGGGGGCCCAAGGGAAAGTGAAAGAGGAAAATAAGAGCAAATGGATAACAGAGTTCGTGAATCAAAGAAAACAATAACATCTGTACGGTAGTGGGCAAGTAAAAGAGAAGAATCACTTCAAATATCAGACAGGCTCGGAGAGACGTAGCAAGAGTAAAAAAGTTAAAAGGGAGAGACAGAGTCACACACAATTACAAAGTGGACTTTAAATTCCACAAAAACAGTTTGTGAACTGGAACTGGAGCAAATCTTTAATCAGCATTTATTTAGAGTTACATATTACAAGTCTAACCTCTTAACACAAAGAGACATTTTCAGTGTCTATTCAATGGAGCAGTTAATGTCCTCCAACTGCACGACATCAACAGGATCCTTTGCTCTCTTTAAATAAGAGATTATAAACTGTTCATACTTTCACAACTAACATTTAAAAGTATTAAATCAATAAAAACATATTCTGCACAAAGCAATAAATATGCAAAACCTCTCTTCTAGAGCCCTGAGGAACTCCTTTGTAGTCACATATCTTGTGTAAAACAGTCACTGATATGCATCCACCAGACTAATTTTAGACGTTTCCATTATCACCAGCATCTGTTTCAAACCAACAAGGTTAACTTGTAATAACTTTTTCAAAGAACTTATTATCTCAGAGGAACAATTAACTACATATGATTTGAAATGGTCTATAAAATATAATCACTCAACTTTTTTGAAGAGTCATAGCCACTGACTTCACTGACTGCTGACCATTACACCAACAGAGCCAAAGACAACATTTATGTCATCTTGGATCATAAGCTAAAGGACAACTCCAGACCACATGAAGTCTCATGGCTTCAGGTCAAATACGGGCAAGGAAACCTCCTGCTAATTATCATATACAACCCCTCAAGATGAATCAGTATGCCTCAACATTGAACACTACTGGAGGAAATAATGAGGATGGCAAGCTCACTGCTTCACATTTAGGATGCTTATGTTGTGCAGCATGACCACCATGTAAAATGGGATAGATGTCAAACATATCTAATGTCTCAAGACCGGACACCCATGAGGTGAAAAGGATCATCAGCAGCAGCAGAATTGTACTCCAGCACAATCAGTGATCTCATGGCCCAGCATATTCCCCACTCTACCATTACCATCTGGTCAGAAGATCGATCCTGGTTCAAAGACTGCAGGACAGCAGGGCAGGAGTAGCATCAGGTAAACCTAAAAATGTGGTATCAAACTGTTGAAGGTACAACACAAGACTACTCTTGTGCCAAACAGCAAGTGATAGAGCTAAACAATTCCACAAATCAACAGAACCAATCTGAACTCTGTTATACCACCTATGCCTACCTCCCAGTTTTAAATTTTATATCACTTCACATCAGCTCCGATGAAGAGTCATCTAGACTCGAAACGTGAGCTTGCTCCCTCTCCACAGATGCTGCCTGACCCGCTGTGATTTCCAACATATTTTTGCTTTCAGTTTAAATTTTACCCTCATCTAATTAATACTTCTCAAATTCTGCAGCACCACCCCTTAAGAAATCATCAGCTAGTTTCATGAAAGTGCCTGAAAGTTTTCCTGTTGGTACTAATAAGATGTTGCCGGATTTGCTTTTATTTAAACACAAGCTGTTTTAAGCAGAACTAATTTTACTAAAAAAAAATCACATGCTGAAAGTGTTGCTCAAGTTACAGATATAATATTTTACATCTAGTTTTCCTACTGCAGCTGCTACCTCTTTAGGCGGCTTAAGAACCACTGCTCTTAGAGATGTACTGTCCTGCAGAAAGGCAGCCTTTTAGCAATTGAATTATAATTATAATTAGCTTTATTGTCAATCAGAGATAGCAAGAACTGTAGATGCTGGAGTCAGAGTCAACATGGTGTGCAGCTGGAGGAACATAGCAGGTCAGGCAGAGGAACAGGAAAGTCGACATTTCGGTTGAGACCCTTCATCAGAACAGGAAATCGACTTTCCTGTTCCTCCGATGCTGCCTGACCTGCTGTGTTCCTCCAGTTCCACACTGTGTTGACTCTAGCTTATTGTCACATGCACTCATTTGCGTGCAGTGAGAAGTTTACAAGTGGCCACTTACAATGCTATCTTAGGTACAAAGGCACCCAGGAACAGATTCTTAAGTACAAATTAGAGTCATAGAGCTGTACAGCATGGAAACAGTCCCTTCAGTCCAACTCATCCATGTCAACCAGATAACCTAAATAAATCTAGTCCCATTTGCCAGCATTTGGCCCATATCCCTCTATCCTATTCATATACCCATCCAGATGCCTTTTAAATGTTGTAATTGTACCAGCCTCCTCCACTTCCTCTGGCAGCTTATTCCATACATGTACCATCCTCTGTGTGAAAAAGTTGCTCCTTAGGTCCCTTTTAAATCCTTCCGCTCTCACCATAAAGCTATGCCCTCTAGTTTTGGACTCCCCTACTCTGAGGAAGAGACCAGAGCCATTCACCCCATCACGCCCCTCATGATTTTATAAACTTCTATAATGTCAACCCTCAGCCTCTGACGCTCCAAGGAAAATAGCCCCAGCCAATTCAGCTTCTCCCGACAAATCAAGCCCTCCAACCCTGGCAATGTCCTTATAAATCTTTTCTGAACCTGTTGAAGTTTCACCACATCCTTCCTGTAACAGGGAGACCATAACTGAATGCAGTATTCCAAAAGTGGCCTGACCAATGTCCTGAACAGCCACAACATGACCTCCCAACTCTTATACTTAATGCACTGACTAATAAAGGCAAGCATACCAAACACCACCTTCACTATCCTAACTACCTGCGACTCTACTTTCAAGGAACTATGCAGCTCACTCCAAGGTCTCTTTGCTCAGCAACACTCCCCAGAACCTCACCATTAAGTGTCTAAGTCCTGCCCTGATTTGCCTTTCCAAAATGCAGCACTTCACATTTATCTGAATTAAACTTCATCTGACACTCCTCAGCCCATTGGCCCATTTGATCAAGGTCCCGTTGTACTCGGAGGTAACCTTCTTTGCTGTCCACACCACCAATTTTGGTGTCATGCGAACTTACTAACCCTACCTCCTACATTCACATCCAAAATTCTTACGGAAAGAAAAAATTAGAAAAAGAAAGAAGTAAAGAGTTCAGAATAACAGTACTTCCAACCCTGTCCATACCAGCTCCTAGCCTCCAATCCGCACCGGGCCTTGATTTGAGACCACAGAGCTTCACTACAAGGCTCTCAGCTGGGAGACCACTCTGGAATCATCTTGAGGCTGGACATTCATGTTGAGGCCACGCCGGGCCAGAAGAACACTGTGCTGAGGTAATAATCGGCCACCATGCTGGGCTGGGAGACAGCCACACCAGGCCAAGAGGTTGCCATGACAGGCCAAGAGATCACCATGCCAGGTCTGCACTGAAGCTGGGAATTCAGGACATGGCCAAGATGAAAGAAAACACAAAAGAGAAAAATCAAAAAGAGAAAAAGAAAAGAAG